GCCCCGGCTCCCCCCGCACTGCCCCCCCACTGCCCCCCACTCCCCACTGCCCCCCCGCCCCCCCGGCTTCACTGACCTCCCTCCCAGGAGGGCGTCGGGGACACGCACAACTCCTACGCCTACGACGGCAACCGGGTGCGCAAGTGGAATGTGACCACCACGAACTACGGCAAGGTGAGCCCACCCCCCCCCACCGGGCGGCCTGAGGGGCTGAGGGCCCCCCCTGGCGGCCTGAGGGGCTGAGCCCCCCCCTCCCCCCCGGCGGCCTGAGGGGCTGAGCCCCCCCCCGGGCGGCCTGAGGGGCTGAGCCCCCCCCCCCCCCCGGGCGGCCTGAGGGGCTGAGGCCGGGCGTCGGCTGCATCTGAGCCTCTCCCGCAGGCGTGGGCCGCCGGGGACATCGTGAGCTGCCTGATCGACCTGGACGCTGGCACCCTGTCCTTCAGCCTGTGAGCCTCCTGCCGCCTCCTGCCCCGTCCCCTTCCCCCCGCCCCCTCAGCCGGGCCTGGGCCTCTCCCCCGGCCGCCCGCCCCGGCCCTGGAGGGTGGCCTGAGGGGCAGCCCATCGGCCTGGCATGCCCACTGGCCTCCCTCCCTCCCCCCCACCCAGGAACGGCGCATCGCTGGGCACCGCCTTTGAGAACCTGTCCCGGGGCCCGGGCATCGCCTACTTCCCAGCCATCAGCCTCTCCTTCAAGGAGTCCGTGGCCTTCAACTTCGGCAGCCGCCCCCTGCGATATCCTTCCGTCGGAGGCGCGCTGGGCCGGCCGAGGGCCTGCCGCCTGGGAGTGACGGCGCAGCCCGGCGGGCGGGGTGGGCGGGGTGGGGGCAGCAGTCCCGTAGCCGTAGCGCCTTGTTGGGGGGCCCGGGCCGCCTTAACTGTGACACCTACCCCGTGGCGGGCTACCGGCCGCTGCAGGACCCGCCGCGCGCTGACCTGGTGCGGGCCCAGCGCCTGCTGGGCTGCTTCCGGGCTGTGCTCAGCGTGGAGCTGGACCCCGTGGTGAGTGGGGGGCCGGGCCGGGCCGGGGCCGGGCCGGGCCGGGCCGGGCCGGGCCGGGGCCTCCCGCAGCCTGCCCCCTCACAGCCCCTCCCCCCAGGAGGGCCGGCTGCTGGAGAAGGAGAGCCCCCGGTGGCAGCTGCAGGGCCAGCCCACGGCGCTGCTCACGCTGGCCCACATCTTCCACCGCTTCGCCCCGCTGCTGGTGAGGGCTGGCCAGGGTCTGCTCCTCCCCCTGGGAGGGCCCGGGAGCCCTCACACCCCAGGGAGGTCACCCAGCGAGGAAGAGGCTGCAGGGCGGGTCCTAGGGAGGGGGAGGGTGCGGGCGGCCTGGCGGAGCCCGAGGGGGGAAGGGGAGGGAGGGGCCCTGTGTCTCAGCAGGGCTGAGGGCCCGGGTCCGGCTGTGCGAGGGCCTGGCCGCTGCCCGCCCGGTGCCCCGTGTGGGTGCAGGGCCGCCCTCACGGTGCCCCCGCCCCGAGCAGCGCAAGGTGTACCTGGTGGAGTCGGTGCTCACGAGCTTCCTGCTGGGCCTGGTGGAGGCGGGCAGCCCCGAGCAGGCGCAGGCCGTGGTGGGCCAGATCCTGGACCTCCTGTGGCTCTTCATGGAGGTGAGGCTGCAGGCTCGGCCTCGGCCGCTGGCCGGCTCCTGGGAGGGCCAGCCTGGCCGCCGCCTGAGCAGCCGCTCTCCCCCAGGACCACGAGGTGCACGACTGCCTCAGGCAGCTGATGATGGCCCTGCTGCGGCTCTACCGCTTCTCGCCCATCGTCCCCGACCTCAGCCTGCAGGTGCGCCCGCCGCCCGCGGCCCAGGGCTGGGCCCTCGCCTCGCCGCCCTCTGAGCACCCCCTCCCCGCCCCGCCCCGCAGATCCTCCACCTGCGCCTCACCGTGGCCATCCTGAGGCACAACCGGTCCCGCAAGTTCCTGCTGAGCAGCGTCCTGTATCCTGGCCTGACTGCCGGGCCCCAGGAGGGGCCGGCCGAGCAGGATCTCCAGACAGATTCTGGGGCGCCTGGGAGCTGTGGGGGCACCCGGGTCGGGCTTCCCGAGATCTAGAAGTGCAGAATGGCGAGGGCTCGCAAGTAGAACAGCGGGGAGCGAGGCTCTGGGCCCCTGGCAGGAGTGTGCTGATCTATTCTCTGGGGCCTTCCGCCTCCTGGAGAGGCCACCAGGCCCTGTCCCTGTCCAGCCTGTCCCCCGGCCTCCTGTCCCTGTGGCCGCCTGTCCCCCGGCCGCCTGTCCCCCGGCCTCCTGTCCCCTGGCCGCCTGTCCCCTGGCCTCCTGTCCCCTGGCCTCCTATCCCTGTGGCCGCCTGTCCCCCGGCCGCCTGTCCCCCGGCCTCCTGTCCCCTGGCCTCCTGTCCCCCAGCCGCCTGTTTCCCGGCCGCCTGTCCCCCGGCCTCCTGTCCCTGTGGCCGCCTGTCCCCGGCCTCCTGTCCCCCGGCCGCCTGTCCCCGGCCTCCTGTCCCCCGGCCGCCTGTCCCCGGCCTCCTGTCCCTGTGGCCGCCTGTCCCCGGCCTCCTGTCCCCGGCCTCCTGTCCCCCGGCCGCCTGTCCCCGGCCTCCTGTCCCTGTGGCCGCCTGTCCCCGGCCGCCTGTCCCCGGCCTCCTGTCCCCGGCCTCCTGTCCCTGTGGCCGCCTGTCCCCGGCCGCCTGTCCCCGGCCTCCTGTCCCCGGCCTCCTGTCCCTGTGGCCGCCTGTCCCCGGCCTCCTGTCCCCCGGCCTCCTGTCCCCCAGCCGCCTGTCCCCGGCCTCCTGTCCCCCGGCCGCCTGTCCCCGGCCTCCTGTCCCTGTGGCCGCCTGTCCCCGGCCTCCTGTCCCTGGCCTCCTGTCCCCCGGCCGCCTGTCCCTGTGGCCGCCTGTCCCCGGCCTCCTGTCCCCCGGCCGCCTGTCCTGCACATGTACACGCATGGGCACCAGCGAGGTGGGCTGACGGCCACACCCTCTGGGGCTCATGGAGACTGGTGGGCGTGCGGAGGAGAGGGCACGCAGGGGGGCATGGAGGAGGGGGCGCGGAGGTGAGCTTCGGGAGGACGGAGAGGATGGGCGGGGCCTTACCCAGCAGAGATGCCTTGACGGTCCAGCTTCGACGCGCTCCGCTCCGCCGTCTTCTTCCACATCAAGAGCCCGCTGCGCGTGGAGGAGGCCGGCCTGCAGCAGCTGATCCCCACCACCTGGTGGCCCCAGCGCCCCAGCAAGGAGGTGGGCGGGCGGCGGTCTGAGGGGCGGGCGGGCGGGCGGGGGGGGGGGGGGTGCGGGCGGCGGTCTGAGGGGCGGGTGGGCGGGCGGGCGGGCGGGGGGGAGGGGGGCCGGGCGGCGGTCTGAGGGGCGGGTGGGTGGGCGGGCGGCGGGCGGGGGGGGGGGGGGGGGGCGGGCCGGGCGGCGGTCTGAGGGGCGGCCTGGGCTGGGGGGGTGGGGAGCCAGCTGTCTCCCTCCTGCCCCGCCAGGGCAAGGACAGCCAGGAGGTGCAGGAGGAGACTGCCGAGGAGCGGCTGCGGAGGCGCGCCTACGAGCGGGGCTGCCAGAGGCTCAAGCAGCGCATCGAGGGTCAGGCCCTCCGGGCGGGCGGCTGGGGGCGCACACGGGGGCACAGGCGGGCGGGCGGCTGGGGGCGCACACGGGGGCACAGGCGGGCGGGCGGCTGGGGGCGCACACGGGGGGGGGGGGTCGGGTGGCTGGGGGCGCACACGGGGGGGGCGGGGGCGGGTGGCTGGGGGCGCACATGGGGGCACAGGCGGGCGGGCGGCTGGGGGCGCACACGGGGGGGGGGTCGGGTGGCTGGGGGCGCACACGGGGGCACAGGCGGGCGGGCGGCTGGGGGTGCACACGGGCGTGGGTGTTGGGCTCGGGGTGCCCCACCCCCGCCTGCACCCCTCCTGTCCCGGCCGAGGGCAGGGCTGCGGGGCTCAGTGTGCTCCCCCCCCAGTGGTGGAAGAACTGCAGGTGCAGATCCTGAAGCTGCTGCTGAACAACAAGGATGAGAACGGGGTGAGAGCCGCGCCTGGGAGGGTCCCTGGTGGGCGGGTGGGCGGGCGGCCCGGCCCCGCCCCAGGGCAGGTCCAGCCTGGGCAGTGTCCTCAGCTCATCGCTCTCACCTTCCCGCCGGCAGGGGGAGGCTTCCCGGTACATCTTCCTGACCAAGTTCCGCAAGTTCCTGCAGGAGAACGCCAGCGGCCGGGGGGTGGGTGTCGCAGGCGGCAGCCCAGGGCCCTGGCTGGTTGCAGGCTCTGCGCTTGGCTTCTGCCCCCTCTCCGCCGCCTCCCTCCCTCCGAGCCGGTCCCCTGCCCCTGCCCTCCGTCCTCTGCCCAGGAGCACCCGGGCACTCGGGAGGCGTGGGCTGGCTGGGCTGGAGCAGCGATGGCTGTGCCCTGTGTCCGCAGAACGCGCCCCTGCTGTGCCCCCCGGAGTACATGGTCTGCTTCCTGCACCGGCTGGTCACTGCCCTGCGCTGCTGCTGGGACGAGTACAAGGCCGCCACCCCCCACGCCTCCCCCAGCGAGGGTGAGTGGGCCGGGCTCAGCCAGCAGGGCAGAGCCAGCCCTGGGGGGCAGGCAGCGGGGCAGGAGCCCTGGGGGGGACTGTGAGCCGTCCACGCTGACAGGGCCCACAGGCGCCCAGCGGCCAGCCCTCCCTGCAGTCCGGGCGCCTCGGGCTGAGGTGCTGGCCCGAGTCTGTAAGGGACACCGCCCTTTAGGCGCCCTGCATTGGGGGACCCCCACGGCGGGGGGGCGGCTCTCATTTTCCCCTTCACCCCAGGCTGTGCTGTTGCTGGCACTGACCTGAGATGGGGTGGGTGGAGGTGGCTGCTGTGTGCGGGGGGGGGGGGGGGGGGGTAGGGGGGGGGTAGGTGGCCCCCGGGCGGCGGGGGGCCTGCTGTGTGCCGGGGGGGGGGGTAGGTGGCCCTGGGGCGGGGGGGGGGCGGGAGGGGGTAGGTGGCCCTGGGGCGGGGGGGGGGGGCGGGAGGGGGTAGGTGGCCCCCGGGCGGCGGAAGCCCCGCTGGGCCTGACGCCGGCCTCGCGCAGAGGCCTACGTCCCACCCCAGGTCTTCTACAACGGCAAGGTGGACTACTTCGACCAGCAGCGCCTCGGGGGGCTGCTCTCCCACCTGCGCAAGACCCTCAAAGGTGCGGCCCGGGCGGGCACAGGGCGCCGCTCTGCCGTGCGTGCCCACCAGAGGGCGCCCGAGCACCGCCTGGGGGAGAGGCTGCTCTGCCGCCGCCTCTGGCCTTGGGCCCTGCAGGGCGGCGGGTATGGGTGCTGGCAGAGGGGGCACCCTGGGGCCCTGGCGAGGCACAGGGACAGGGAGGGGTGATGGGGTGCCCTGCCACCCAGTCTCCACAAGAGGAGTCCCCGGTGCACGGGGCACGTCCAGGTGGGGCGCAGGCACAGAGGCCAGTGGGCCCTGCCAGACCCTGCCCGGCCGGGACCCTCGCCCTCCACTGGCCTGAGCCCTGCCCTCCTCCCAGATGACCTGGCGTCCAAGGCCAACATCCTGATTGACCCCCTGGAGCTGCAGGCGGCCACCATGGACGACCTGGACGAGGACCAGGAGCCGGCCCCGGCCGCGGCCCCGGTGCATGGGGGGGGCACTCCCCCTCCCGGGCGGGGCCACACATGCCCTCCGGGAGCTGACAGCTCCGCTCCTCTCCCGCAGCGCCCCTTGCAGGCCCTGGCCATTGGGGGCGCGCTGCCCCTGCCCCGGCCTGGCTGGCTCAGCTCCCCGACACTGGGCCGAGCCAACCGCTTCCTCAGCACCGCGGCCGCGACCCTGATGACCCCCCGGCGGCCCCTGAGCTCCGCCGAGAAGGCGAAGGTCCGCACGCTGAGCGCCGAGCAGAGGACCCGCGAGGACAGTAGGTGTCGGGCGTTGAGGGCCCCCCCTGCAGTCCCCACGAGACACCCGCCCCCCTCCCCGCCTCCAGCCCCGCAGCCTCAAGGGCAGGGCAGTACACTCCAGGCGGATCGATGGCACAGAAATAGGTCCGGAGCCGCCGCCGGCCTCCCTCCCCGGCCTCCCTCCTGCCGGGCGGCGGGCGGCTCCGGTGCCTCCGGCCCCGGGTGGCCGGCCTGACCGCCCCGCCTCCAGTCGAGGGCAGCCAGTGGAACGAGGGCCTGCTGCTGGGGCGGCCGCCCGAGGAGCCGGGACAGCCCCTCACCGAGAACTCGCTGCTGGAGGTGCTGGATGGCGCCGTGATGATGTACAACCTCAGCGCGCACCAGCAGCTGGGCAAGGTCCGCGGCGCAGGGCTGTGCACGCCGGTGCGCGTGTGCGTGCACGTGTGCGTGTGTGTGCGCGAGTGTGCGTGTGCACGTGTGCGTGTGTGTGTGCGAGTGTGCGTGTGCACGTGTGTGTGTGTGTGTGCGAGTGCGGGTGTGTGCGCGCACGTGGGTGTGTGCGCGCGGGTGTGTGCGTGTGCTCGCGGGTGTGTGCGTGCGTGCACGTGTATGTGTGTGTGCGTGTGCATGCATGTGTATATGTGTGTGCGTGCTGGTATGTGCATGTGCATGCACGTGTGTGTGCGCGCGGGTGTGTGCGTGTGCATGCACGTGTTTATGTGTGTGCGCGCGCGTGCGTGCGGGTATGTGCATGTGTGTGCATGTGTATATGTGTGTGTGCGCGCGGGTGTGCATGTGCGTGCACGTGTATATCTGTGCGCATGTGCGTGTGTGCATTGTGTGTGCGCACCCTGGTGTGTGTGCGTGCGTGTGTATGCCGTGTGTGCGTGTGTGTGTGTGTGTGTGCGTTGTGTGTGCACGCCCTGGTGTGTGTGCGTGCGTGTGTATGCCGTGTGTGCGTGTGCGTTGTGTGTGTATGCCATGTGTGCGTGTGTGCGTGTGCATGTGTGTGTGTGTGTGCGTGCGTTGTGTGTGCGCGCCCTGGTGTGTGTGCGTGCGTGTGTATGCCGTGTGTGTGTGTGTGTGTGTGTGTGCGTTGTGTGTGCGTGCCCTGGTGTGTGTGCGTGCGTGTGTATGCTGTGTGTGCGTGTGTGTGTGTGTGTGTGCGTTGTGTGTGCGCGCCCTGGTGTGTGTGCGTGCCCTGGTGTGTGTGCGTGCGTGTGTATGCCGTGTGTGCGTGTGTGTGCGTGCGTGTGTATGCCATGTGTGCGTGTGTGCGTGTGCATGTGTGTGTGTGTGTGCGTGCGTTGTGTGTGCGCGCCCTGGTGTGTGTGCGTGCGTGTGTATGCCGTGTGTGCGTGTGTGTGTGTGTGTGCGCGTTGTGTGTGCGTGCCCTGGTGTGTGTGCGTGCGTGTGTATGCTGTGTGTGCGTGTGTGTGTGTGTGTGTGCGTTGTGTGTGCGCGCCCTGGTGTGTGTGCGTGCCCTGGTGTGTGTGCGTGCGTGTGTATGCTGTGTGTGCGTGTGTGTGTGTGTGTGTGCGTTGTGTGTGCGCACCCTGGTGTGTGTGCGTGCCCTGGTGTGTGTGCGTGCGTGTGTATGCTGTGTGTGCGTGTGTGTGTGTGTGTGTGCGTTGAGTGTACGCGCCCGCCGTGCGTCAGGCTGGCCGGCGGTCACCGTGGCTGTCCCTCCAGATGGTGGGGGTGTCCGACGACGTCAGCGAGTACGCGGCGGCACTGAGGAGCACGGAGGACAGGCTGCGCCGGTGCCCCCAGCGGGTGAGTGTGTGCGGGTGGGGGCGGGCAGCCTGCCGCCGGGGTCCGAGGTCGGCCGGGGAGACCTGCCCGGCTCCGCGGGGTGACCTCAGCAGTTCTCGCCCCGCCCCCGCCCGGACCGGAGCCCGTCGCGGGGGCTGGCACAGGCCGGTACACTCCGAGCCCATCGCCCGCCGTGCTGTGCCGAGGCGCCCGCCCGCGCTAAGTGCTCGGCGCACCCTCCGACCTCATCAATTATGGATCCGCCTGAGCGCTCCTGGCACTTGCAGCGTCAGCAGGAAGCGCCGGGCCGTCCCCCCCTGGGCCCTCCGCGGCTCACCGCCGGGCAGGCCCAGCCCAGCTGCCTGCGGCCATCGCGCCCCGGACTGCCCAGCCGTGCCCCGCCCCCAGCGCACCCGCCCGCGGCCTGCTCCTCACCCTTTGCGCCCAGGCCACCATGGGGCTCGAGGCCGTGGGCGCGGCCGGTCCTGACCGCCTTCTCCTTGGCAGAGGAAGGACATCCTGGAGGAGCTGACCAAGAGCCAGAAAGTTTTCTCGGAAAAGCTGGACCACCTGAGCCGCCGCCTGGCCTGGGTCCACGCCACTGTTTACTCCCAGGTGAGCAGGGGCGGGCAGGCAGTGCCGCCCTCCAGCCCCTGGGCACAGGCTGGCAGCCTCACGCCCCTGCGCCTGGGCCTCGGCACACTCCCCCCCCGCGTCCCGGAACCTCAGCCCCCAGGCCCCCACTCGGACACTGCGGGCGAGCGTCTGTCCCCGCCGCCTGCTCCCTGCGCCTCCCCCGCAGCTCCTCGCAGACACCGCTCGCACTGCTCACTCATGCTCCGCCATCGGTGACCAGCCGGGCGGGGTCCAGTGCGCCCGACGCCAGGGGCCCCCCGGAGCGGGCAGAGAGGCCAGGCCCCCGAGCGGCTTTGAGGGTGGACAGAGGCGAGCTCCCTCTGCTCCCCGCGCTGCGGCACGTACCCCGAGGCAGCAGTCCTGGCTCCGGGTTCGAGGCTGGCGCTCCTCCTGGAGCATCGGCCAGCTGTGCCGTCACCTTCACAGCCGCAGTCAAACCCCGCTCAGCGCCTCGGTCACCTCCGGGTTCGGCTCGGTGGTCAGTGCTTTCATCGGTGTGAATAGACCTCCAGAGCGTGTTTGCTTCCCAACCTGACACTCACACCCACTGACACGGCTCCCTGCCCCCGCCCCTGCCGCGCCTGCCCTCAGCCAGCATCCTCCCGCGCGTCCAGAGCCACAGCGCTGGTCTGCCGCGGCTCCCTGGCTGCTGCCCGCACGTCGCTGGGGGCCGGGTGCGTTGTCTGCGCCGCCTTGTGCGTCCCTGACAGCCTGGCGCTGTGGGTCCGAGGTGTGGGCTGTGCTCAGAAGCGGAATCGCCGCTCTGGGGTGAGCTGCTCGAGGCGCTGCCGCAGCGCTGGCTCCGCGCGGAGTCCGAACGTGTGTGGTTTCCTCCGGGCGTCTTCCCGTCCGCACCGGCCTGTCTGCCCGGACGCCGTGTGGTGGCGCGGCTCTGGCCGCTGGGACAGGCGGTGGGCTCCGGTGTGAGGTCGGCGGGTTCTGTCCAGATGGCTTTGGCGGCTGGTGTCCTTGAGGTTCCGTGCGGCTCTTGGGCTCGATCTCTCTGGAACCCGCCGGGCTCTCGGTGGGGAAAGCAGGCCTCCTGGCGTCTGCTCACGGCGCCCTCCGCGGAGCGCCTCTGCCTGCCGGCCTCCTGGGCGCGTCCTCGGCCCCAGCCGCGTCCGGGAGCCCACCAGCAGCCGTGCCCCGCAGGAGAAGATGCTGGACATCTACTGGCTGCTGCGCGTCTGCCTGCGCACCATCGAGCACAGCGACCGCACCGGCTCGCTCTTCGCCTTCCTGCCCGAGTTCTACCTGAGCGTGGCCATCAACAGCTACAGCGCCCTCAAGAACTACTTCGGGCCCGTGCACAGCCTGGAGCAGCTCCCGGGTGAGCCCAGCAGGAGGGCCTGGGGCAGCTCCTGGTGAGGGCCCAGCGGGCAGGGCGGGCGGGTGGGGCCTGGTGAGCCCGGTCTGAGCATGGGAAGCGAGCAGCTCCTGCTCCGCTCGCCAGCTCGGACCCGCACTTGCCAGTGCCGCGCGCTGGAGCCCGGCCTGTGCCGCCCGAGCCTGCAGCCCCTCGCTGGCGCGGGGAGGGGGCACCAGACGGATCCTGCTCTCACTTCCTCCTGGTGCCTCCCCAGCGCCCGGCACTGCCATGGGGTGTGGCGCTGTCGCCGTAGATCACAGTGAGGGGGGCCACACGGGAACCCCTGATTCCCGGCTGGGGGGTGGCTACGTCGGGTCTGGCTGCGGGCTGCCCTCCCTCGGACCCGGCGCTGCCCTCCTCAGGCAGCGCTGTAGGTGCCGGGCATCTGACTGCTGAGCATCGAGGGGTGGGCTCGGCTAGCACCCCGCCAGGACCCATCCCACAGCAAGTCCAACCTCAGCCGTTTACCGTCGCTGAGGCTGAGCTTGGGCCCAGACCCACCTGGGAGCCAGCTCCGCAGCCCTTAGCCTGCCGCCCCCCCCCCCCCCAGGCTATGAGGAGACCCTGACCCGCCTGGCTGCCATCCTGGCCAAGCACTTCGCCGACACCCGCATTGTGGGCACTGGTGAGGGGCCCTGCAGAGGCTGGGGTGGTGCGGGGGGGATGGGGGGATGGGATCGCGGTGGGATGGGGGGGTGGAGATGGGGGTGGGGGGGTGGGATGGGGGTGGGGATGGGGGGTGTATCTGGCTGGCTGTTTGCTGCATGGGTGTAGCCGGGTGGGCCCGAGGCCCCCGCTGAGCCCCTCCCCCCACAGACATCCGGGACTCGCTGATGCAGGCGCTGGCCAGCTACGTCTGCTACCCTCACTCGCTGCGGGCTGTGGAGCGCATCCCCGAGGAGCAGTGAGTGCGGGGGGAGGGCCGTCCCCGCCCGCCCAGCCCCCCAGGCCTCACCTGTGCCCCCTCCCCCGCCCAGCCCCCCGGGCCTCACCTGTGCCCCCTCCCCCGCCCAGCCCCCCGGGCCTCACCTGTGCCCCCCCCCCCGCCCCGCCCCCCGGGCCTCACCTGTGCCCCCGCCCCCGCCCAGCCCCCCGGGCCTCACCTGTGCCCCCCAACACACACAGCCCCTGGGCCTCACCTGTGCCCCCCTTCCCACCACCCCCCAGGCGCGTCGCCATGGTGAGGAGCCTCCTGGCTCCCTACGAGCAGCGGCCCTGGGCGCAGACCAACTGGATCCTGGTGCGGCTCTGGAAGGTGAGGGGCCGGGGGCGGGGCGGGAGGGGCCGGGGGCGGGGCGGGAGGGGTGGGCCGAGGCGAAGGGCTCGCACTGACCGCGCCCGCCCGCCCGCCCGCCCGCCCGCCACAGGGCTGTGGGTTCGGGTACCGCTACACACGGCTGCCGCACCTGCTGAAGGTCAAACCCGAGGACGCCAACCTGCCCAGCCTGCAGAGTGAGTGCCCACGGCTCCCGGCTCCCGGGGGCGTTCCCCCTGGTCCTCGCTCCCGCCCCGGTGCCCGTGGGCCTGAGGCCGGCGGGTCAGTCACTGGGACCGCCTTCCAGGTGCTCCCTGACCTTGGCCCGTGTCCTCCGCCGGCTCTGCCCCCGGCCGGGGTGCCCGCGTCCAGGGCACAGACGGGCGGGCCGGGGGCTGGGGGCTGGGGACGCTGGGCCAGCCTGTCCGCGCACCGCCCGGCTCTCCCCGGCGGCTCTCCCCCGCCCACCGGCGGCTCTGCCTTTGGGGAGGCCTGGCCGTGGCCTTGGCCGCCCGGAGGGTAGAATTGAGCTGCCATGGAGGGCAGGGGCCTCGGGCCTGCGGCTGCGGCGGCTATTGATCTGCTGGGGAGGGAGCCGCGGAGGCTGCGGGCTCTAGTTCCTGCCGCCGGTCGCCCAGGCCTGGTGCCCACCCCCTCAGCCCCGGGCCAGGCCGGCCAAGGGCGCGGAGGGCGGCCGGAGGCTCTGGAGGGAGCTGGCCTCGGCCCAGCAGGCGGCTCCGGTTTCCGCCGACCTCGCTCTCCCTGCAGCCCACGGCCTGGGACCTGCCGGGCCCACAGCCTGAGCATCCCGAGCCGTCGTCCGGCCCCCAGCCTGACCGCCCCCCCCCCAGCCCGCAGAGCCCTGCCCCTCCCCCCCGACTGCCCCCCCCCGCCCACAGAGCCCTGCCCCTCCCCCCTGACTGCCCCCCCCCGCAGAGCCCTGCCCCTCCCCCCTGACTGCCCCCCCCCGCAGAGCCCTGCCCCTCCCCCCTGACACCCCCCCCCGCCCGCAGAGCCCTGCCCCTCCCCCCTGACTGCCCCCCCGCCCGCAGAGCCCTGCCCCTCCCCCCTGACACCCCCCCCCGCCCGCAGAGCCCTGCCCCTCCCCCCTGACACACCCCCACCCACAGAGCCCTGCCCCTCCCCCCCGCCTGCCCCCCCCCCGCCCGCAGAGCCCTGCCCCTCCCCCCTGACACCCCCCCCCGCCCGCAGAGCCCTGGCCCTCCCCCCTGACACCCCCCCCCGCCCGCAGAGCCCTGCCCCTCCCCCCTGACACCCCCCCGCCCGCAGAGCCCTGCCCCTCCCCCCTGACCGCCCCCCCCGCCCACAGAGCCCTGCCCCTCCCCCCTGACACACACACACACACACACACACACACACCCGCCCGCAGAGCCCTGCCCCTCCCCCCTGACACACACACACACACACACACACACACCCCCGCCCGCAGAGCCCTGCCCCTCCCTCCTGACTGCCCCCCCCCTGCAGAGCCCTGCCCCTCCCCCTGACACACACACACACACACACACCCCCGCCCGCAGAGCCCTGCCCCTCCCTCCTGACCGCCCCCCCCCCGCCCGCAGAGCCCTGCCCCTCCCTCCTGACTGCCCCCCCCCTGCAGAGCCCTGCCCCTCCCTCCTGACTGCCCCCCCCCTGCAGAGCCCTGCCCCTCCCCCCTGACACACACACACACACACACACACACCCCCGCCCGCAGAGCCCTGCCCCTCCCTCCTGCTGCAGCAGCACATGGCGGACCTGCTGCGCCAGGACCCTGACGTGGCGCCCAGCTTCCTCAACAGCGTCCTCAACCAGCTCAACTGGGCCTTCTCGGAGTTCATCGGCATGATCCAGGAGGTGGGCCCGGGGCGTGCGGGCGGGGGCCGGCACTGACCCCTGACCCCGCTGACCCCCGGCCGCTGACCCCCGGCCCCCTGACCCCCGGCGCTCAGATCCAGCAGGCCGTGGAGCGCCTGGAGCGGAACTTCGTGGACACGCGGCAGCTCAAGGTGTGCGCCACCTGCTTCGACCTGTCGGTCAGCCTGCTGCGCGTCCTGGAGATGACCGTGACCCTGGTGCCCGAGGTCTTCCTGGACTCGGCCCAGCCCACCTCCGAGATGCTGCTGCAGCGGCTCGCCCAGGTGGGTCCGCCAAGCGTGGGGCCGGGGGCCGGGGGCCGGGGGCCGGGGGGCGGCCAGGGGGCCGGGCGGGCGGGCGGGGAGCCGGGAGCCGGAGGGGGGGCCAGGGGGCCGGGTGGGCAGCCGGGGGGCCGGGAGCCAGGGGGCCGGGTGGGGGGGCCGGGAGCCGGGGGGAGCCAGGGAGCCGGGCGGGCAGCCGGGGGGCCGGGGGGGGGGCCCGGGGGGCCGGACGGCCGCGGGGACTGGGGAGCCCGGCCGCCAACACTGCTGCCCCCGCAGCTGCTGAACCAGGTGCTGAACCGCGTGACGGCCGAGAGGAACCTCTTCGACCGTGTGGTCACCCTGTGGCTGCCCGGTGAGGACCGGCCGCCCCTCGGCCGGACAGCCGGCGGGCACCCAGCCTCGGGCCCGGCGGGAGGGAGGTTGGCACTGCTGGGCGCCCAGCATGGGCGGCTCACCCCTCCCCTCCCCAGGCCTGGAGAGCGTGGACCACTACCCCATCCTGGTGGCCGTGACGGGCATCCTGGTGCGGCTCCTGGTGCACGGCCCTGCCGCAGGGTGAGTGTGGGGGTGGGGGCCCCGTGGGGCTGTGCCTGGTGAGTGGAGGGTGGGGCCCGTAGGGCTGTGCAGGCTGAGTGTGGGGGCCCGTGGGGCTGTGCAGGCTGAATGTGGGGGTCCCCCGGGGGGCTGTGCAGGGTGAGTGGAGGGTGGGGCCCGTGGGGCTGTGCAGGCTGAGTGTGGGGGCCCGTGGGGCTGTGCAGGCTGAGTGTGGGGGTCCCCCGTGGGGCTGTGCAGGGTGAGTGGGGGGTGGGGCCCTGGGACTGCACAGGGCTCCTGGCAGTTCTGCCTCCTCGTCTGGGAGATGGGCCTCGGGCAGGTTTGGGGTACCACGGCTGAGGGCTGCAATGCCTGAATCGGTGGCAGTAGCAGCTGAGTAGAAGCAGGGACCCCACATCAGAGCCTCAGGCAGGGCCGGGGCACCTGTGATGACAGCGCTGCCGAGACAGACTGAGCACACGTGTCTGGGGGTCTGCAGGGTCCGGCTTTATTAGGAAACTTGTGACGGTCCAATCCAGGCCCCGAGCGGCCCCAGCTCTGCTCGCTCCCCAGGTCCCCAGCTGCCCTGCCCCGCGGGAGGGCGAGGCCGGCCCTTGGCCATTAGATGAAGCAGAGCTGAGCCTCCAGGGCCTGCAGTGTGCCCCGCCCTCTGTGCCCTCCCTGTGCTGAGCCGGGAGAGGCTGCCCTGCAGCCTGCGATGCCCTGGGCACAGGAGAGGCCACTTGGGAAGGAGGTCGGATGGTGCGCGGGGCCTGTTACCGGGGGAGGGTGCTTCCTCTTTGCCTGGAGATGGGCCAGGTCACCCCCACCCACCTGCTCCCTCCCTCACCGCCCGCTCCAGGCCAGGCTCTCCCGTGGCCTCGTCTCCAGGAAAGGTCCGCAGGGCCCGTGCCGAGGGCCCCAGTGAGGGGCCTCCCCCAGCTCCGGGGAGCTCCGGGCAGCAGGGCGCGGGCAGGCGGCAGGCGGGGCCGGGCGGCGAGGGCATCACAGCCCCTCGGAGCCCGTGGAGCTCGTGGACGCGGAGCCCACCTTGAACCGCAGGCCCACGGGGTTGTAGAGGTCAAAGTCCTCGGCCACTGCCAGCTGCACGCGGCCGTCCAGGCCCCTCCGGCCCGGCTCCAGGAACACCACGTGCTTGTGCATGCTGGCCTTGCGGCTGGGGGCGTCGGGTGGCGTGGCGCTGAGCACGGAGGACTGCGCGCTCAGCTGCTGCAGCGGGCTGGGCGTGCGGGGCCCGCGGCGGCGGCAGCAGGTGCGCCGGGAGCAGCGGCGGCAGCCGGGGCAGGGCGGGGCGAACAGGTAGAGCAGCACCAGCACCAGGCCCACCACGCAGCCCAGCAGCGTGGTGTAGCCCGTGTTGAAGGCCTCGGGCGCCGGCTGCGGGTAGTGCACGCTCACGTTGAACTCGTGCGTCTGGTTGTGCTGCAGGCCGGGCCCGGTGGCCAGGCACACGAAGACGCCCTCGTGCCACGTCTGCACGCTCGCGATGACCAGGGTGCCATTGGCCAGCACCTCGACGCTGCGGTCGGGGGCCCCGGGCGGCACCAGCAGCTCCCCCTGCGGGGAGACCCAGGCCACGCGCCGGGCGGGGGCGCTGGCGGCGCAGTGCAGCGTCAGGCGCGCGCCCACCTGCACCTCCCGCTGCTGCTCCGGCTGCTCCAGGCCGCCCGGGGGCTCGGAGCAGTTCTCGAAGACGCGGCTGTGCGCGAAGAGGCGCACGCGGGAGCTTGGCACCCGGAAGGCCAGGCACGTGTACTCGCGGGCGAAGTCGCTCACGGCGCTGAGCCCGCGCTGGCGCCAGCGCTGCAGCAGGCGGAGGAGGCGGCAGTCGCAGGGCAGCGGGTTGTCGTGCAGGTAGAGGCCGTCCTTGAGGAAGGCGGGCAGCGCGGCCAGGGCGGGCACGGGGGCGCGGGCCAGCCGGTTGGAGGAGAGGTCCAGCGTGCGGAGGCGGCTGGCGCTGAGGCCGTGCAGGCTGTCGAAGGAGAAGGCGGCCAGCTCGTTGCAGCCCAGGTAGAGGCGGCGGAGCGCGCCCAGGCCCCGGAAGGCCAGCGGGTCCAGGTGCGCCAGGCGGTTGTCGAACAGCAGCAGCGTCTCCAGCGCGCCCAGCCCGCCCAGGTCGTGGCGGCCGAGCGCCCGCAGCGCGTTGGAGGACAGGTCGAGCCGCCGCAGGCCGCTGGCGTTGGCGAAGGCGCCGCGCCCCAGGGCTGCCAGCTGGTTGTGCCCCAGGCTCAGGGCGCGCAGCCGGGCGAGGGGCGCGAGCCAGCCCGGCCGCAGGCGCTGCAGCGCGTTGTGGCTCAGGTCGATGTCGGCGGCCGCCTCGGGGAGCTCCGCCGGCGCGTCCTGCAGCCCGAGGCCCGCGCAGCTCAGCAGGTCGGCGGCGCAGACGCATCTGCCCGGACAGCGCAGGGGCGCCGCGGGCCAGGCGCCCTCGGGGTCCGGGCTGCCCGCGCCGGCGCGCAGCGCGCACAGCAGGGCGCCCAGCACCGCCTGCCCGGCCATGGCGGGGCGCGGCCCGGGACTCCCCGCTCTGCTCCGCCGGCGGCCCGGGAGGCAGGAGGGAACGGGGAACGGCGCCCGCACAGCGGCCGCTCCTCTCGGCGCCTTCTTGGGTTTCCCGGCTTCCGAGTGCCCCGGGCACTCGGCCTAAGTACTCCCGGGAGGGACCGCCCAGGGGCGGGGCTGCGGGCTCCCATTGGCTGCTGCCGAGGGGGCAGGCTCGCCGTGGGGCGGGGCCCCCATTGGCTGTCGCCGAGGGGGCGGGGCGGGGCCGCCTCTGAAAGGCCCACGAATACAGGGAGCAGGGGACCAGCACTGCCTGCTGGTGGCGCCCTGAGCCCTTACAGGGCACGGACCTTTGATGGGGGTAGAAGCCCGTAGGTATGGGGCGGGCTGGATGGCCACCCACCCGCTCCAGTAGCTCCTCCAGCCCATCCCCCTGCACCCTCCCACCCAGGAGGGAGAAAGCCACATCGGTGCTCCTGGCGGACCCCTGCTTCCAGCTCCGCTCCATCCGCTACCTTCTGGGGCACGCGGAGCCCCCCGCCCCCGGCACGGCCCTGCCCACCCCTGACCGGAAGCGCTTCTCCCTCCAGAGCTGTGAGTGGCAGGGCAGCGGACTGGGGGCTGGGCGGGAACCTCACTGGCCCGGTCAGGAGGCCCTGGGTTCCGGGACCACAGTGGGCCTGACACTTGTTTACCCCCCCCCAGACACGGACTACATCAGCAGCGAGGAGCTGGCCCAGGTGGAGCAGATGCTGGCGCACCTGACGGCTGCGTCTGCCCAGGCCGCCGCGGCCTCACTGGTGAGTGGGCCCCCAGGCCAGGCGGTGCCTGAGGCAGGGCTGCGCTGAGGCCTGTGTGTCCACTGTGCCCTGTGCTCCCCGCAGCCCACCAGCGAGGAGGACCTCTGCCCCATCTGCTATGCGCACCCCATCTCGGCCGTGTTCCAGCCCTGTGGCCACAAGTCCTGCAAGTAAGTGTGCCCCCCCCATCCCCCCGCAGGCGGGCGGGGCCGAGGAACACCGGCCCTCTCCCTCCCGTTGCAGAGCCTGCATCAACCAGCACCTGATGAACAACAAGGACTGCTTCTTCTGCAAAGCCACCATCACGGCGGTGGAGGACTGGAAGGCGGGCAGCGGGGGCGCCACCCTCCTCGTCGGCCTAGTCTGCGTCCACACCCAGCTGGGCCCTATGTATGAGCTCCTCTTGCCAACCACCCCCACCCCCGCGCGTCCCCCGGGGTGGGAGCCCAGCCCGCACTGTGCCTGCGCTCCACTTGCAGTCAGGGCCACGTGAGCATTAAATTATTATTCAACAGCCCGCCCGGCCTTCTTGAGGGGGTGGGCTGGGGGTACCCACAAGGACCCCGCCCGGTTTGTGTCCACAGAAGCAGGTGTCCAACTGCTTCCACCCGGTCCAGCTCCCAGACACGCAGCGAGTCCGGGCCTGGGACGCCCAGGCCAGGGTGCCCTGGCCGACGCGGGGCTCCGCCGGCCGCTCACATGATGATCCGAGGCTCCGGCACCGAGTCGCCAATGGACTTGTGGGGCAGCACGCTGGCCCGTTGAGGTAGAGCTCGTCGTTAACGATGACGTCCTCCCCCAGCACCGTCACGTTCTCCATTCGGACCTGGGGGGGCAGCCCGTCAGGGAGGCCGCTGCCCCGCCCCCCGCCCCCTGGCCTGGCCCGGCCCGGCGGCTCACCCACTGGCCCACGCGGCAGCGCCAGCCCACGATGCAGGACTCGAGCCAGGAGTGGGAGCGGATGTGGGCGTCCCGCAGCACCGTGCAGCGCCGGATGCACACGCCGTCCTCCACCACCACGCCGGGGCCCAGGCTCACGTTGGGGCCGATGCTGCAGTTCTGGCCGATGCGGGCGCTCGGGTCCTAGGACGGGGCGGGGGAAAGCACACGTGGGGCCTCTGTCCCCGAGGCGAGGGTGCCAGGGCGGGACCGGGGCTCACCACCAGCACGTTGCCCACGATGCCGGGGCCCGAGCACAGCTGCTCAGGCTGCTTCTGCCGCAGCGACTGCAGGAAGAGGCACATGCCCGTGAGGAAGTCCTTGGGCTGCCCGATGTCCATCCAGAAGCCTGGAGGGCGGGAGTACGTCAGGCTCAGCCCCGCCACCGGCCACCCGCCCCGGGCCTCCTGCCTCACCCTGCAGCTCCATGGCGTACAGCTGGCCCTCCTCGGCCATGACCGGGAAGACCTCCTTCTCGATGGATGTGGGCCGCAGCTGTGGGAGGGGAGCGCGTGAGCAGGGGCGGTGCGCCGGCCTCCCGGCCTCAGAGCGCCCGCCCCACCCACCTGGATGCGCCGCAGCACGGCGGGGCTCAGGATGTACATGCCCGCGTTGATCTTGTTGGACACAAACACCTGCGGCTTCTCCACGAACCGGTGGATGCGGCCGGTGTCGGCCTCGCACACCACCACGCCGTACTTGGAGGGCTCCTCCACTCTGGTCACCTGCGTGCAGGGGCGTCAGGCCTGGGCATGGGCTGTCCTGAACCTCGGGCTGTGCCCCAGTGCTTAGAGGCTGCCCCGCTCCGCGCTCACAAGGACTGGGCAGGTCAAGGCGGGGCCGGGAGGCTGGGCCCGGGAGGCGGGAGGTCAGGCCTGGTCCTTACCAAAATGGAGCCCTCCTGGCCGTGGTGCCGGTGGAACTGCACCATGGCTTGGAAAGGGAAATCGCAGATCACGTCGCTGTTGAGGACGAAGAAAGGGTCCGCAGTCTCGGACAGCAGCTCACGGGCCAGGGCCAGGGGCCCAGCTAGGGGGCGGGAGCAGATCTCCGTTTTCCGGGGTCGGAGCCCTGCACCCAGGCTCAGCAGGCCCCATTTCCCAGCCCTGAGCCTCTCCACAAGGGCTCCCCCGTCACTGACCGGTGCCCAGAGGCTCCTCTTCGTGGGACATGGAGATTCTGATGCCCAGCTGGAAGGGAGAAGCCGGGTCAGGGTCCTCCCCGAGGGAGGCGGAGTGGGGACGGACGGAAGGGCAAGAGTGGATCAAGCCTCACCCGCTGCTCCTGCGCCTTCATCTCCTTCTCCAGCACCTGGGACATGTAGCTCACGGCCAGAATCACGTGGTCCACGCCGGCCTGTGGGCAGAACCGCACGGGCGCCCGCGCTGAGCCGGCGGCGCGGGCGCCCCCAGCCCGCTCGCTCGCGGCCGTCCCGCGCCCGGCCGTCCTCCCCGACCGGGCCTCACCGCGGCCAGCGCCTCCACCTGGTGCAGCAGGATGGGCTTGTTGCAGAAGTCCACCAGGGGCTTCGGGGTGCTGAGCGTCAGCGGCCGCAGGCGCGTCCCGTAGCCGCCCACCAGGATCAGTGCCTTCATGGCGCCGGCGGAAGGGCGGCCGGAGACCGAGGCCGCGCTCCGGGGGCACCGCGGCGCCTGGCCGACCCTGTCACTCACTCCAGCCGCCGGGCCGACCCACTGGCGCTCTGGTCCGCCCGGGACCCCCGACGCCGTATCCCCGCCCCGCAAACCCGGATGCGATGCGGACTGGACGGACGGCCGCGGCCCCAAACTCGGCCGGCCCCGGGCGGCGGTGACGTGAGCGCGGGCGGGCCAATCAGCTGCCGCGTACGTGGCACGGACGCCGGCGTCGAGGCGCCGGGGCGCAGCTCTGGAGGACGTAGCCAATGAGAGTCCGAGCGCGCCCGGTTGCTATGGGGATCGCGATTGGGCCTCGGGTCAGCTGGCCATTGGCGGATCCAAAGGCGGAACTGGCGCCAAGAGCGAGGCCGCCTGCGGCGTCCGCCGCGCGGCCGGGGAGGAGCGCACGGGCCGGAGGAGGAACGAGCCCGGAGCTGGCGGGCCGCCTGGCTTCCGGAGCCGCGGGGTGACACAGAGACGCAGACACGCTGAGTTTTAGCGGCTTTATTGGACAGACACAACCTGACAAGCGGGCGCAGCGGGCGGGCGGGCGGGCGGGCAGGAGCAGCTTGGCCAGGGTCTAGGCACCCTCCCCGCACGCAGCGCCTCCAACACGCCGCTGCGCCGACGTGGCCACGAGTATCCCGGCCTGGCTTCGGGCGGCGTGGACAGGAAAGTGGAGCGAGAAGCGATTCCTCGGCAAAGCTTTACAGTTCCGGGAGAAGCAAAGGATCCTCCCAGGGTCCTCCCAGTTTTTTCCTCATTAAACCACTTTTAAATCAGCACAAAGAAAACCAAGTTGAAAAGCACTGAAGTTCAAAGCAATCTGCATCTAGGGGCGTGCAGGTGGCCAGGTGTGAGCAAGTGGGCAGCGGCTGTGAACTAGCCTAGGCCTTTGGCCCCTTAGGAGTCCCCACGCCCCTGCACAGGCCCGATGGGGGGGGAGGGGGGTCCCTGGCTAATTGCTATACTGGTCCCTTCCTCTTTAAGCACCACCAACCCCACCCCCCGGGGGCTAGTGTCACTGGGCCTAAGGAAGTGCTATGGACAAGGGTCACTCGAGTGCTCCAACCGTGATGCCACGGTTCACTTTGGTCCCAAGTTGGGGCTGGGAAGGCAGGGCCCAGAGGGCAGAGGGCGCTGGCAGAGCAGTGGGAAAGGGGTGAGCGCGCACACATGCCCACCACCTGCCGCGTAACAGGGCTGGGGTCTCCAAGTGTCAAAAGTGCTGAAAAGAGGGGACCCCCCCTGGGGGAGAAGCAGCAAATCCCAGGCCCCTGCTCCTAGTGCCAGGAAGACACTATGAGAAGGTACATCTGCTCCCCAAATACAGACCTCGGGAGGCACAGCAGAGCTCCAGGCTGGACAGGCTCAGTCCAATTACCAGGGGTCCCGTCTCCGCCTCTGCCTTGGGAAGGGCGGGTTGCGCCATGAAGAGCTGCTGCCTGATGGCGGAAGCCACAGAGGTACAGGAGCCAAGGTGGTCGTTACCCAGGACCAGAACAAGCAAGCTGTCCCTCCCAGGCCCCAGGACTGGGCACCTGCCCGCCACGGGCAGCGGCGTCCGAGGCCGAGAGATGCTTAGGTCCGTTTGAGATGCCGAGGCTGCATCGAGGCTGGGAAACTACCCTCAGCTACCACGGCCTCTCGGACACGGGCTAGCAAGCTTACCTTTAATGCCCAGAGTGACTGTGGCAGTGGCTCTGGGCTCCGAGGGGAGGTCACTGACCTTGGCAATGGTTAGGGGAGTGCAGGGGCACCTCCTGGCCACAAGCAAGAGAACCACCACATGGGGAGGGAGGGTCCTTCTGGTCGGCCCTGCACTGTCAGTGCTGCGTGTGGAAGGGGCCACACTCCAGGCCAGAGAGGGCGCCGGGCCAGCAGAGGAACGCCTCCCACAAAGCATTCTACTCCCCATTCTTCGTAAAAAGGCAGCACCTGCCGAAGGGCACAGGGGCAAAGCTCGCCTCAGAAATGGGAGCAAGATCCTTTGCTGAGGAAAGCATGAAGGACATCAGTTCTCACTAATGAACAAGGCTAACCCCAGGGGAGGACCCCAAGACTGGAGCTGGCAGATGGACAAATGGACAGGCTGATGGACTCCAGGACTGAGAAGACAAAGCTCTCAGAGCCTGGGCCTGCACCGGGAGCAGGCCGTGTCCGGGAGCAGGCCGTGTCCGGGAGCAGGCCGTGTCCGGGTGCAGGCCGTGTCCGGGTGGAGGCCGTGTCCGGGAGCAGGCCGTGTCCGGGAGCAGGCCGTGTCCGGGAGCAGGCCGTGTCCGGGTGCAGGCCATATCTGGGTGGAGGCCGTGTCCGGGAGCAGGCCGTGTCTGGGTGGAGGCCGTGTCCGGGAGCAGGCCGTGTCCGGGAGCAGGCCGTGTCCGGGAGCAGGCCGTGTCCGGGAGCAGGCCGTGTCTGGGTGGAGGCCGTGTCCGGGAGCAGGCCGTGTCTGGGTGCAGGCCAGCTTGCAGCTCCCTCCCAAGCAGAGCTCCTCACGGGGCTGCTGCCTGGAGCTTGGCTAGGGAAGCGAGACCCCGAGGGACCACAGCCCGAGCCTGCGAGCGGCAGCCCATCCAGAGCAGCACAGCTGCCCATGCCCGAGAACTGCGGACACCATCTTAGCTAGAGCCGCCAGAGGCCCCGAGGCCTGGTGGGACAGACAGCAGGCTCTTCGGCAGATGGAGCAGGCCCCTTTCAGCGGGACAAGGGGGGCCCTCCTTAGGCAGGGATCTGGGTGAGAAAGGCTGGCTGGGGTGTGCAGGCAGGGAGAGCAGCAGGCCCAGGAGCCAGAGTGCCTGGGAATCCCAGGGCCAGCCCCCAGCCCCCAGCCCTCAGCCCCAGCCGGCTTCAGCCCAGATTCGGAATCCAGCCTCAGCCAAGAACAGAACGGAGGAGGGCCCAGCTGTGCACAGCTGGCCTTGTAGTGCCCTGGCAGCGTCAGAGCGGCTGACACCATAACACTAGGGTACATGCCCCTAGAAATGGGCACCCAATCCCTCTACTTCCGAGGAATGAAGGGTGAATGGGCATGGAGGGGCCCTGCAGCGACAGGCCCCAAAAACCTCGGCAAGAGAAACCAATGTCCAGGGCACCCTGTTCCTGCGGCCAGCCCCCCAGGGGCCCCTCCACTGAGTCAGCCTGGACACAGCAGGCGCAGCTGCCGAGCAGCCGAGCCTGGCTGAGGACGTGTGCTCTGCTCTCCTCTAGGTTATATATATGGATGCCAGGCTACAGCTAAAAACATTTCTTTTAGTTTATACCCAAGAGAAATATAACCCTTTAAAAGCAAGTCTGTGTGTCCTCACGGCGAGTTCAGATCAATGGTCCCTGCCTGCGGGTGGAGAGGGAGGGGTCTGGGCCGCGCGGGCCTACTGGTTCTCGTCCCGCATCTGCTCCATGATGCTGATGAGGTTCTCCAGGCCGAACACGTAGCCTCGGTCGGGCCCGTCGTGCACGGTGGGGTCGTCCCGGAAGCCCTTGAATGTGCTGTGTGCAAAGTCGATCATGCGGACGTCCACCTTGGGGGAGGACACGCTCTCGAGGCTGGTGCTGCTGGGGCTGCCCGGGCTGGTGCTAGGGCAGCAGGGCGGCCCCACCTCGGGCGGCCCCGGGTCCAGGCTCTTGAGACGCATCTCGGCGCGGCGGTCCAGGCTGGCCTCGGGCCAGCACTCCTTGCCGTCGTAGATGACGAGCAGGGAGCTGGAGTAGAAGCGGTAGGAGGCCTGCCGCTCCAGCACGGCCTTCAGGCCCCGCAGTTTGCTCAGGATGGGCTCAAAGAGGTCGCGCCGCAGGTCCAGGCCGTTGTGCAGGTACTGGTAGAGGGCGTTGCGGAAGCCTTCGATGGAGAGCCCCCGGCCATAGTACTTGTTCCTGCAGAGGTAATGCCCCGTGTCCAGCTGGTACACCTGAAACCCCGGAGACAGACAAGCGTGAGTGCCGGGGCGTCTGTGGCCTCGGTGCCCTGGGCAGGCGCCGTCTGGAAAGCACTGACCACGCCGAGCTTTTCCGCTAACCCCGCCCGGAGGCGGGACCAGTGCGCCCGAAGCTCCCCGCAGGACGGCGGGAGGCGCCCGGCCTGCGAGTCCTCCGCCATCACTGACGTCCTTTTCCAGCTGCCCTGCGACCAGCTGGACTCCCACTGGGAGCCTGACAGACAAGTCTTACTTGCCCCAATGTCACGGAAACAGGCTCTCCCGGCAGCTCGGTACCTGGAGCCGGACCAGAGTCACAGACACGGACAGAGGCCGGGGAACATGCACGCGGGAGGCTCACCCGCGGCCGGAGGACGCCTGGCCTGGGGAGCGGCGGGCGGGGCCCCGTGGGCTGGCGGCGGCGCCTGGCTCTCACCTGCATGCCACAGACCCTGACGCCCAGCGAGGCCGACGTGCTCTGCTCGCACTTGCGCATCTGCCGGGCAGCCTTCTCAGCGGACGCGTCGTCGCCGTGCTGCCGGGTGCCCATCTTCAGGTCCAGCACGCATGGGCACTTGAAGTGGTGCACCACGTTCTCCAGCAGCAGGAACTCTGCGCCCAAGTCAAGGGAACCACACAGCCGCAGGCACCTCCCAGCTCACGGGGACGCCACAGCACCGGCTTCTCTCTCACCCAACAGCTCACGCCCTGGCCAGTGTGGCTCCGGGGCAGAGCGTGGCCCGCGCACCAAAGGCTCTCAGGATTGATTTCTGGTCAAGGGCAAGGCCCTGGGCCGCAGGTTCCATCCCCGGCCACAGCAGGGGGGTGTGTGGGAGGCAACCAATTGATCTCTCTCTTTCTCTCTCCCCTTCCCTCCCTTCCACTCTCTCAACATCACTGGGGGCAATATCCTGGGGTGAGACAAAAATGGCACAATATCCTGGGGTGAGACAAAAGTGGTGAAATGCATAGGCATACCATTGGCTGCTGTATTTTAGGAGTGCGCTCAGCGGCCTTCAGCAGTCACGTTACTGTGCCAGCCATTTCCACCACCTCCCAGACCGCACCCAGAAGCAGCAGCACCGTCACACCCCCCTATCCCCCCAGCCCTGGTCCCACTACCCCCTGGCCTCCAGCCTGCCTGCTCCAGGTCCCCCATGTGCAGTCACAGCCCCATCCCGTGTCTGGCTGTCACTTAGCAAAAGGTCTTCGAAGCGCCTCCGTCCTGCAGTGTCACACAACGCCACTCCTACTCGGGAGGAACACTCACCAAAGCCACCGATACTCATCTGTGGATGTGGCTCACAGGCACACACAGCTAATGGGGACTCTGCAGGCTCACACACACCCTGCACCGCCAGGAAGCCAGCCGCACCCCGCCCGGCCGCCAGGGCCTCGAGGGGCCTGAGACCTAAGGAGACCGGCCTCACCAGCAGAGAGGTGAGAAACCGGCTCACTCTCCCAGCAGGAGCCCGGGAAGAAGCGGGTTAAAGCTCTCAGGCGTTTTCTGACTGAACCTCGAAGCCGCGGGCTGTGCACATAAAACGCACCCCTGGTGCCCCCAGGCCTTCTGCTCCCGGCGCCGGGCCTGGACGCCTGTCGTCTGCCCACATCGCCAGCGAACCCCGCCGGCCGGCCGCGCACAAGCCCTCACCCCGGGGGCGCTGCTCAGTGCTCCAGGGAGGGAGTGGAGGTCGGTCTTCCCGGCCGGAAGCAGAAGGCAGTGTGCTCTGCAGCGAGGAGGCTGCGGCCATGGGAGGGAGGGGGACCCAGCAGGAGGTCAGGCCGTGGCCTGAGGGCAGCGGCACAAGGATACTGTAGAGCTTCCGGTCCTTGGACTCGGAGCGCATGCGGCTCAGCTGCTGCTTGTGGCAGCGCAGGCTCCAGGGGTTGTGGCTGATCTTCTCGGAGCTCAGGCCGCTGTTGCTGTCCAGCATCTGGAAAGGGACGTCCGAGTGGCTGTGCAGTTCCACCTTCGGGCTCTTGGCCTCCTGGGAGCTGAGGAGAGCAGACAGTGTCACTGCCCGGGCGGGGGAGCAGCTGCCAGCGAGGGAGGCGCTCCCTTCCTCCAGGCCAGGGGTCCTCAAACTTTTTAAAGTGGGGGCCAGATCACGGTCCCTCAGAGAGCTGGAGGGCCGGACTATATGAACTACTAATTCCTACTGTAACACCTCGGCTGCGCTCACTGCCCAAAAAACCTGGCGGGCCGGATCAGACTCCTCTGCGGGCCGCATGTGGCCCGCGGGCCGTAGTTTGAAGACCCCTGCTCCAGGCAGTCAGGCGCACATAACCGGTGACCACAGCCTCACACAGGCTTTGCTGGGAGTGACGGCAGGTGTGCCCCCGCACTGCCACGCGGGCAGCCAGAGGCAGTCCTGGCAATGGCAGAGCGCGGTGGCAGCAGTGGCTACGGCGATGTCAGCATCACTGTCCTCTCCTGAGCTGCTGACGACCCCAACAGGGTGGCGCCGGCACAGATCTGGTCCTTTAACCGAAGCGGGGAGCCCGCCAGCCCCTCAATGACGAAAGCCCTTTTTCTGGGGGGCACAGCCGAGGCCACTGGCAGTGCCTTTCTGCGATCCCCTTTCAGAGCCACGAAGCTGCCTCTGCCACCAGACGGCACCTCCGAGTCTCCCGATGAGTCACACCCGGGACAGGTCGCCCTGCATGGTGACCCAAGACCAACAGCCACTGCCCCCACGGGACCTGCCGCGGAGTGGGCGCTGCCCGCCCTACCTCTCGGTGGGCTCGAAGGGCAGGCCGGCCTTCTCCTCCTTGTGGTCGCTGCCGCTGCCGGACCGGTGCAGGCTGCGGCGGGAGTGCTTGCGCCGCGGCTGCTCCCGCTCCGGCGTGTCGTCCTGCTCCACCACCTCGCTCTCCACGTAAGGGTAGGCCACTAAGTTGATGTAACCGTCACTGTCCCCCTCAAAGCAGACGGACACCACTCCTGTTGGAAACAGGCAGCCCGTCAACAAAGGCCGCACGGACGGCTGGCGCGGCGCTTGGCACAGCCCGCCCGGAGCCGCGGCCAGCGGGACCCAGTGGCGCCGTCTCTCCAGAGCAGCTTCCAGCCGCCTCCCGGCGCTGCTCCCTGACCCTGGGTCGCTCTTACTCTGTGCCCCTCAGAGAGGTGCCCCTCGGTGACACCTGCACCCGACATCACCTACCTTCTACAGACTTATTTTATTTTTAAAAATATAACTTTTATTGACTTCAGAGAGGAAGGGAGGGGAGAGCGAGCTAGAATATCAGTGATGAGAATCACTGATCAGCTGCCTCCTGCAGCCCCCTCCTGCCCCCCAGCCCCTGCCTGGGGATGGAGCCCACCACCCGGGCCTGTGCCCTGACCAGGAATTGAAACTCGACTTCCTGGTTCATAGGTCAACACCTTGAGCCCTCGCCGGGTGACAACATCCTGTCTACAATCCTCTCTACGTCTCCCAGGCCTGGCTGGCTCCCGCTGGAGCCCGTCCTCAGCAAGTCCCCAGAAGGGGCCAGAGTGGGTCCTGAGTCCTCAGTGCGCTCGGCAGCAGACAGGCCAGGGCCCCGCGCCTCCCACCGCACCGGGAAGCACCCCTCCCTCCTCCGGGCGCCTCGATGAGCCCGACACCCACAGGCTCGCCGATGCTCTGGGGTCGGATCTGCCCCCCCGCCCCGGGCGGCAGGGCCTCGCTCACCTTTGTACTCCGGGGTGAACTCCTTCATCTCGGGCGGGAGGGACTCGTAGAAGCGCTGCTCGCGGGAGATGAGCGGCTTGCACACCGTGTGGTCGTCGTAGCGCATCATGCTGCTGTGGCCGCCCACCTGGTGGATGAAGGGCTCCAGGAGCACCCCGCGGTCGCCGGCCAGGCCCGCACTCTTGCCGTACTGTCCCACTTCCATGGCTCCACAAACACACATCGCGTTGGGGGCCCGCCGCGCCGGGGGCAGAGGGTGCAGCTCATGGGCCACCGCAGGGGAGCTGGGCGGAGGCCCTGCGGGCGGGCGCGGAGCGCAGGTCAGCGTCTGCGAGGAGAAGGGCGGGAGGGGAGTCAGGCCGGACACGGACACGGACACGGACACGAGCGAGTCCCTGCGTGTCTGCTCGGGTCAGGGCCGGGCCTGCGGTGCGTGGGGACAGCCGGTGACCTCTGGTGGAGGTGCAGTGCTGGTCTCCCCCGCCGCAAATGCCACCTCCTCCCCCTTTGCCAGCCTCAGGCCCCCTCCAGGCTCTCGAAAGATTTGGACTCAGAGCTGCGGTCTGTTTCAGCCGCCAGGAAAGCAGCTGCCCCGTCCGTTCAGACACGTTCAGCACAAACCCAGAAGCAACACGAGCTCCTTCCGTTCAGACCGCCCCCCCCAGCCCCCACCCATGGCCAGCACTGGGAAGGCCCCCGACTCCGAGGGCGGGCTTCTCCCGAGCGAGCAGGTCACACGGTTCCCGGCTCCCTGCTCCCTGCTTCTGCGGGTCAGAAGCACGGCCCGCTTCTCCCCAGGACTCGGCCTCAGATCTCACCGAGTCCGGCCTGGGCCCAGCCCCTCCGGCCCTCCTCCCGCTGACCACACCAGCCGGGGGCAGGGGGCAGCTCGTCTCCCAAGACCCTCCTCATAACGTCTACTTTCTCTCAAGCAGGTTAGAGCAGCGGGCACCTTCCTTACTGCTGAATGTGTTTTTATTATTTTAAAAAACACATGTTCTCATTGATTTCAGAGAGGAAGGGTGCGGGAGAGAGGTAGAAACATCAATGATGAGAATCATGGATCGGCTGCCTCCTGCACGCCCCCTACTGGAGATCGAGCCCGCAACCCCAGCCTGTGCCCTTGGCTGGAATCAAACCTGGGACCTTCCAGTCCGCAGGCAGATGCTCTATCCACTGAGCCACCTCAGCCAGGGCCTGAATATATTTTTAAAGCTAGGAAGGTACCGGCAAGACTACACTGAAAAGGAAACTAGAGAATAAAGTGTTTGTGGAGCAGGAACATGGTTTTACCTGCAAGAGTCAAATCCGTCCTCTTTTCCTGACACTCATACTGATGTGCAGACGGGCTACATACTGCTGCGAACTGTCTCCCCCCGGAGCGGCCAGGAAACCACGTCCCACCGCCCTGCCCTCACAAACACACCGCGCCCGCGAGGCCCCGAAGGCAGCCTGTGCCGCTCTCACCAGCACGCACGGCCCTCGCCTGGCACCACCACCGCGCCACCCTGCCTCTCCTCCGGACGAGCGAGTCTAAGCGGCGGCGAGCTGGGATGAACCAGCCGCAGAGGCCCGGCGGGGAAGCACACCGTGGCGGGAAGGGCCTCGCGGCGCAGGAAGGGCTGGACCACGTCTTATACTCAGGGCACAGGAACCACTACTGGGTCCAGGCACTGCAATCACGTAACTTCGTAAAAACCCCACTTCATCCTGTTCTCAGCGTCTGTGCTGGCAAAGGAAAGCCTACCTGGTGCCACTTCTCCAGACTCCCCCTGCTGCCCACAACCAGCCCCAGGCCAGCACGGCAGCACGGGGACCGGGCGGAGCATGTGACTGCTCACAGCCTGCCATCCACCACCTCAGCCCACGTCTGCCCGTCCCTCACCAGAGCCTGCGAGACCCCACGAGATTGATCCTCCCACCCGTCCTCTCCGTCTGGTTCCCCAGCCTCTGCCCACTGCTCAGCACCCCGCTGGTAACAGCGGCTGGCACCTGGGCACACTTGGCCCCGATGGCCTTTGCACCCGCCTTCCCTCTGCCTGGCATCCTTCCCCCAGTACCCACACGGCTGGCTCAGCTGCTGCCTGCCAGAGCCTAAGAGCAAGCATCGGCTCCACGTCTTCCTCTTTGAACTGCAAACCCACATGGGCTTCCGTCCCCCTCCGTCTGCTCTACTTCTTCCTCCTTTTCGCGGTACTTACCCTCCTCTGACATAGCACGTATTTTATTTATCAATAACGTCTGTGTTTACTTTTATTATGATGTCAATTCCATGAAGGAAAGACTGTTTAGGTCAGTAGGTATCATCCTAAACGGTGGAGCAGTGCCCGGCACATGGTAGCCACACACTGAAACAGCTGGACAATGTGTGTGCGCGTTGGTACAGTGTGTAACACTCGGAAAAGTGTTTGCGAGTGTTCTTCCTGTCCCTTTTCTCCCATTAGGCTTGTAAATAAAACTGTTCACAGTCTAATCCGGGGCCGAGACCACAACAGAGGGGCTGTCCAGAGGACAAGGCCTGCTGGCCACAGCAGGAAGCCCAAAGCAACAAGGAAAAGGACTCCCTGCAGCTGGACTCACACACGCTGGTCAGGAAGGAGAGAGGCTGTGACGGCCTGGACAAGAGCAGCCGCCGAGCGACGCGGAGAAGCCTCTGGGCGGCTCAGAGCGTGTTGCTGACGACACGGGAGCACGGGGAGCAGGCAGACAGGTCATCTCAATGAGGGAGAACCACACCAACAAACTCAACTCAACCAGAAGCACAGTGAGTCTGCTGTTCTGATTAACGGGGGAGCCCAGAAAGCGGCCGTGAGCAGAAGCCCCGTGGCGAGCGGCTGCAAGGAGACCCGAGCGCGAACAAGGCCGGGCTATTTTAGCGCGAGGAGGACGTCCGCTCCCCACAAGACACACCTGGCCGGCCCGGGCCTCAGGGGGCCGGCCCGGGCCTCAGGCAGACGGCTCGGACGCACGCACATGCAGCGCAGACACGCACTCGAAGAAGTCTGGTTAGAAGCCCAAACTCGGTGGCCAACGTATTCCTATAACTCACATCAACCACGTGAGTTTGATTGCAATCTTTTAAGAAAGGGAAGCGTCCTGCTGCCTTCTCACTCCACAGCTATGTTTGAAAACGTAAGGCCTTGACCGGTGTGGCTCAGTGGATAGAGCATGGGCCTGCGGACTGAAGGGTCCCAGGTTCGATTCCAGTCAAGGGCATGTACCTTGGTTGTGGGCACATCCCCAGTAGGAGGTGTGCAGGAGGCAGCTGATAGATGTTTCTCTCTCACTGATGTTTCTAACTCTATCCCTTTCCCTTCCTCTCTGTAAAAACCAATAAAATATATTTTTAAAAAGAAACAGTAACTCAATACTTTACTACCTCTTTGAAGTTAAACACATCCACTTAAGCGCTAAAAGCGTAACAGTATCATGCCCTTTGAAAATCAGACAAAATGTATCTGTCTTTTAAAATTTTAATTTACACTTAATTAGTCAGGAATGCTGAGTAAAATTCTGGCAACAATGTAACTTCAGTTTTTGGGTGGTTTTTTTTTAAATATATTTTATTAATTTTTTACAGAGAGGAAGGGAGAGAGATAGAGAGCTAGAAACGTCGATGAGAGAGAAACATCGACCAGCTGCCTCTTGCACACCCCCTACTGGGTATGTGCCCACAACCTAGGTACATGCTCTTGACCGGAATCGAACCTGGGACCTTTCAGTCCGCAGACCAACGCTCTATCCACTGAGCCAAACCGGTTTCGGCTTCAGTTTGTTTTTACTCTCTGATTTAATCCAAGGTCAAAATAGCAAAATCACTGGCAGAAAAAGAGCCCAATGGGCGGTCAGGCATCCTAACAGGAGAGACCACGCCAGGGCCGGGCTGTGGCTCTGGTCTTTAAAGCGATTTCGGGACACAGCCGCGGACGGAGAAGCCAGCGGACCCTCACGTCCCGGACTCAGGCCGCCAGGACGACGCCATGGAGCTTGTTCTCAGAGCCGCGGTCGCCAGCCGGTGCCCCTCGGACCGCTGCCCGTGCGGCCCAAAGGTTGGCTGGTGACTGCGGCTCTCAAGCCCATGAGCGAGAGCCGATGCCTCCGGAAGCCGAGCCCGCTGGCTCCTCCCCGGAGGCCGGGCCGGTCGGGAGCTCGGGGGGCAGACTAGCCTTCCCGGGCGGCCCGGCTGTCTGCAGCAGGTGCGCTCACTCCTCCTTGGAGAGCGGAGAGAGGAGGGATGTTCTCAAAGGAAGAAGTGCTGCCGCCTGGAGCCTGCCCTCCCACCCCACCAGGGCCCGGCACGCCTCACCGAGAAGCCAGGGCTGTGCAGAGGCCCAGAGCGACCGGGGCTGGGAACAGGCGGGAAAGGCTCAACGGTCCATTCCGCCGTGTGTTCCCGAGAAGAGATGAGCTGTTCGGACTCCTGGGTCCTCTCCCGGACCAAGGGGCAGGGACATCCTCCTGAGAGCACCAGGCTGCGAGCAAGCAGGGAGCGAGGAGGGATGGGAGCTGGCTGGAGGCCCCAGGGGTGCCAGCCCATCAAGAAGCAGCCAGAACAGAACTAGCTTAGACAAAGAGAAAAGCCGGAATCCAGTGACCCTTTCCTGTGTTTACTGGACTTATAAAAATAAGAAACCGTGCTTGCTTACACACACACACACACACAGGCACACACGCACACACGCGCATGCACACACACTAGAGGCCCAGTGCACAAAATTTGCGCATAGATAGGATCTCTAGTGGCTGCTGGCCAGGGCTTTCTTTCGTTCTGTGCCACCCCCTGGTGTTCAGCACATCATAGCGAGCAATCAAACCCCTGGCAGGTCCAACTCCCGAGGGGACAATTTGCTTATTAGCTTTTTATCATATAGGATATATACATATAGTCTTTTTAAAAAGTGAAACTGTCTAAAATGCCATAATTCAGAATGGGAACATCCTGGCCTACGCCTCTCAGACTGCCCGTCCAGGGGAGACCCCACTGGAAGCGATGCTCCGGCCCCAGGGGAAGAAAGATGGGGGCCGGGGCCAGGCCTGCGCTCCCTCCCAGGCTCCTGCGGGCCGGTGACGCGGCCCCTCCCCTCCATCCAGGCGCTCAGCGGAGGGGAAGCGAGCTCAGCAGGGACCTGAGGCCTGAGGCCGGGGAGCGCACTAAGTGACTGGGAAACTGGCGGTACCTCCTCCGTGGCACTGTCCTCACCACCTTTCCTGACCCCCTGAGACATGAAGACTGAACAGACTCAGGGGTGAGCGGCAGCCTATGAGGTCAGGGTTCAATTCCCGGTCAGGGCACAGGCTCCGCCCCAGTGGGGGGTGTGCAGGAGGCAGCCGATGAACAATTCTGTCACAGCCATGAGCCAGCCACCTAGAAACACACGCACCCAGCCTGGCACACGGTCACTGTAAAACCTGAAGAGTCCTCTCTCCACTACGAAGTTTATAAGAATCTTTCCGAAGAGCACTCCCGACACAGGTGGCTTCACTAGTGAATTCTCCCAAACATTTAAAGAAACTACACTAATGGAACTCACTCCAGAAAACAGAGAGAAAACACTTTCTAACTGTTTTATGAATTCAGGTAGCCCTGATAACAAACCTATGAAAGAAACTTACCATAAAAGAGAGAAGTGAAAAAATTATAGACCAATATCCTTCGTGAACAAAGACACAAAAATCCTTAGAAATGTTTAGCAAAACAAACCGGATGACGCAGGAAAAACAATACATGACCAGATGGAGATGCGAGGTGAGCCAGACCTCTACCGATGGAGCCGAGGAAATCCCATGTCAGCGGAGGAGGAAAACCGGACGGCGCTGCTCCCTCAGCCCAGAGGCGACTGCCCGGGCGCCTGGCTCCGGAGCCAGGACCTGCCTGGGCGGCGCCAGCGCCTCTCCGCCCGCCGCTCTCCTGGAGGTGGTCAGCCCGGAGGGGGCGCTGCTCTGCAGAGACGCGTTCCTGTTATCTGGAGTTCTCTCCCTCTCACCGCCCATCCATCACCCCAATCCCTCCTCCAGCCAGCCATTCTTCCCTTTAAACCGCCCGTGCTAACTATGGTGCGCTCTCAGTTTCCCCAAATGTAAAATGAATGGACTATACTCGTCTCATAGGGCCGTTAAAAAAAATCCCCGGGGTACAATCAGGGGGTGGAGGAAAGGAGAAAGAATCATGGACAGATAAGATGGTGACTGCAGGGTGGGGGTGAAGATGGAAGAGGGTAAAGGGGGATAAATGTTGAAGGAAAAATAAAATAAAGAGGGGATTCCTTCTCTCATCCACTTAGATATTCGAGAGAAAAACATGCAGACCAGGAAATAAAGATCCCAATAGAGCAAGAGGAATATTCTGTATTGGTTCCCTTCCCGCCCCAAACTGGAACTTTATAAAATATAGACACTTCAAAATTTTAATAAAATGTCCTCTAAAGCATCAGTATTTAAAGAATCATTTTCTCACTTCAACTAATTTCCACATTAAATTTTCATTCATTTAAACCTCTACCTTAATTTCCATCCAAGAAATATCACTTTAGCAGCTTCATAAGAATCATTAAATTATTTAAGAGATTTGGGAAGTTGTAGAAGAGGATCTGATACCCCATTCTCCGGGGAGCCGCGGCCACTGAGCCCCGTCCCAGAGCCAGAGGCTGGGCCATGCGGGCCGAGCTCTGAGCGGGCAGGGGTGCCCCAGAGCCAGAGGCTGGGCCGGTGCGGGCCGAGCTCGGAGCGGGCAGGGGTGCCCCAGAGCCAGAGGCTGGGCCGGTGCGGGCCGAGCTCGGAGCGGGCAGGGGTGCCCCAGAGCCAGAGGCTGGGCCGGTGCGGGCAGAGCTCGGAGCAGGCAGGGGTGCAAGCTGCCGCCGGGAAGGGGTTGAGGGATCAGATTCGCCATCAAAAGCACTGCTCTCGGCTCCCCAAGTCACCCTCCGGCACCCCAGCCGCACCTGCGGCACTAGCTTTCCACACACACACACACACACACACACACACCCCATCAGACAGGAGGCCCACGCGGTGAAGTTATTGTGAGTTACACGGTCACATCCCCCACGTGCTCACGCGGCCGCGTCTGAGGAGGGAGCAGATCTGGGAGCTGGGCCGGACACAGTGCTCCCCGTGGCCTTGTCTGAGGAGCTGGGCCGGACACGGTGCTCCCTGCGGCCGCGTCTGAGGAGGGAGCGCGTCTGAGGAGGGAGCACGTCTGAGGAGGGAGCACGTCTGGGAGGGAGCACGTCCGGGATCTGGGCTGGACACGGTGCTCCCCGTGGCCTTGTCTGAGGGGGAGCACGTCTGAGGAGGGAGCACATCTGAGGAGGGAGCACGTCTGAGGAGGGAGCACGTCTGAGGAGGGAGCAGATCTGGGAGCTGGGCCGGACATGGTGCTCCCCGTGGCCTTGTCTGAGGGGGAGCACGTCTGAGGAGCTGGGCCGGACACGGTGCTCCCTGCAGCCGCGTCTGAGGAGGGAGCACATCTGAGGAGGGAGCACATCTGAGGAGGGAGCACGTCTGGGAGGGAGCACGTCTGAGGAGGAAGCACGTCCGGGAGGGAGCACGTCCGGGAGCTGGGCCGGACACAGTGCTCCCTGAGGCCACGTCTGAGGAGGGAGCACGTTTGAGGAGGGAGCACGTCTGGGATCTGGGCTGGACACGGTGCTCCCCGTGGCCTTGTCTGAGGAGGAGCACGTCTGAGGAGGGAGCACGTCTGAGGAGGGAGCACGCCTGGGAGGGAGCACGTCTGAGGAGGGAGCACATCTGAGGAGGGAGCACATCTGAGGAGGGAGCACGTCTGGGAGGAAGCACGTCTGAGGAGGGAGCACGTCCGGGAGCTGCTCAGTGGGGGGGAAGGTGCAGTCTGTGAGCCTGACGGACGCCGAGGGGCCCCCGGCCCGTCAGCCAGCGGCGTTCAGACACCGACAAGGACGGAGCCAATTTTACAGCCAACAGACCCGCACCCCAGAGCCTGTGTCTACTCGACAGCCCTGCTACCTCCACTCCCAGCCTCAAGGAGCACCGCCAGCTCCCCCGACCGACACCTGCGGTGGGAACCGCAGCCGGGCCTGACCACGCGGAAGAGCAGAACCACCGAGCCCGCAGGCCTCTGCCCGCTCGTGTCCGGAATCGCGCCGAGCAGGCCTGGGCAGAGCAGCCTCTCGCTCGGGCTGAAGAGGACACACGTGCGCACACGGCTGTGCCGGACTCACTGCATCTTGGTTCCTAAAGCCACACCCAGAACCACCAACGCCCAGCGGCCACGGGGCCGCACACAGAGGGGCCTGAGCAGCGAGGAGAGCCAGCAACCAGGTGCGTGAGCCTCCACAAGCAGCGAGACAGGCAGTCACCGCCCGGGACTGTCCTGAGCCGCTGCGCACGCCGATGAGCAGCACTGCCTGCGGCACCTGCGGGAGACTCGGGCTGCTCCCGTGAGCCGCCAGCCACCCTTCCGCCATCCAACCAATACACACTCACACACACAGCACCCAGGCACTTCGCTCAGACGGTCTTCCCCGGCTCCGCTCACGATGCCCGCCTCACAGCCGCCAGCCCCGAGGCCGATGCCCGCGCATGGAGCTAAGGGGCACAGCCCGCGCTGGGGAAGATCCGGCAGCGCGCACTCAGGCAGCAAACTCACCAACGGAAAGTGCACATCATGGAGAACCGTGCACTAATGCATCGCTGAGGGACACTTGTCTCTGGCACCACGCTGACAGCAAACAGTCACCTTGTCCCACCTCAGCTGGGAGCATGCACACAAGTCAAAACCTTACCATTTCCAGCAGTTTTCTTTGACCAGTGAAATGGATCAAATTTTGCCCTAGCTGGTGTGGCTCAGTAGATAGAGCGTCGGCCTGTGGACTGGAGGATTCCAGGTCAGATTCTGGTCAAGGGCACCTGCCCTGGTTTTGAATTAGGTCCCCAGTGTGGGCTGTGCAGGAGGCAGCCAATCAATGACTCCCTCTCCTCATTGATGTTTCTCTCTATAACCCTCCCTTCCTCTCTGAAATCAATACAAATGTATTTTTTAAAATGGCTCAAATTTTAATTCACTGCAATTTTAAAATTTGGGAAATTTCACATAAAAATCTGGATTTCTGGTTTTCTTAAAAAGAAAGACAAGATCTGGTAGCACAGCTGGCCCTGAGCAACAGTGACCTCTCAGACAGGGTCTATGCTAGTCAGTCACCGAGCACCCACCCTCCCTCTGCCCTCACCCTGCTCCCTGCACTCCCTGCCAGCCCCTGGGTGCAGACCATCAGGACCCAACAGATGTTTATGATCAGCACTGACTGCCAGAGGCACACATCAGGATGTACACAATCCCATTTCTATAAAATTATACAGGGAAAAAAGCCTGGATATACACTGAAACTAACAGCGAAGTTGTGGGTGCTCCTTTATTTTATTTCTTGTTACTCAGATGTTCTCTTTTACAATTAGTGAGCATATATTACTTAGATGGAGTCATGTTTTTATAACCGCTTGGAGATATAATCCCTCCCGCTTACAGCGTACAGTTTAATTGTTTTAGCAGATTCCCAAGATGTGCAGCCATCACTACAATTTCAGAGCAAACCATTGGCTACATTCCCCTCCTCACCCCAGCCCTGAGCAGCCGCCAGCCTCCTTCCTGGTTTAGAAATGTGCCTCCTCTGACACTCCCATGATCACTCACATAGCATGTGATCCATGTGCTTGGTGTCTTTCACTGAAGTGTGATTTTTCCCATGTTGCATGTCAGCACTGTTCTTTTTTATTGCTGCATACTACTCTACTTCATGTACACACCACATTTCCTTTTCCCATGAGCAGCTGACATGTATGTAAGCCGTTTCTCCCTGTGGCTCCATGAACACGCTGCTATGAACACACACACAGGTTTGCGTGGACACGCTTGCCTCTCCTGGGGAGTAACGGGGAGTGGACTGCTGGGTCATACAGTCACTCCGCATTTAACCCTTTAAAGAGCTGCCGGGTGTTTTCCAGCTGTGCGCGGGGGCTCTGCTCCATCTCTTCGCCTCACCCACCCCGTCCTGACTGACCCGGTTACAGAGTTGGTTGTAAGTGTTCATTCAATCGCAGCGGGCCCAGGATTCCTTATGGGGTTCCAGGTGCTCTCCTCTGCTGGTGTCCAGCTTTAGACCCAAAGAGAGCGGTCCGCGCCGCTCCCAGCCTCACTGCACAGCGCGGCCAGGAGCAGCCTCTGATGCCAACAGAACAGCCCCAACAGGGACCCAGCACGAGTGAACGTGCCACCCATCAGATCGTATCTGTAACGCCTCCTGCCGAAATGCAACTTCAGGGGCGTCCCGATCACCTCACAGAAAACCAAGGCTTTGTCTTCTCACTCAGAATCCACTCTGGCACCCTGCTGCAGTCAAGGGAGCCATGGATGATGTAGACCCCCGGGGACAAGCTCCCTCGCCCCACACCAGAGACAGCACCCTGCGCAGCTTCCCCTGCCCTGCCACCACCGGCCCTGGGCTCAGGGCAGCAGGGGAGAGCCAGCAGCAAAGACGCTGACATGTTCATTCGCAGCGGCCAGAAGAGCCCAAGAATCTCAGCGCCCAGGGCCTGCTCACGGCACCGTAGGAGGGGCGCCACAGCCGCTCCTGAGATGTGTCCTCGGCAGTGAGGACGCCCCATCGCCGCCAAAATCCCTGTCCCCATGTCAAGCAGGGCAGGGGGTGGAGTCCCACGGTCCCCAAGCCCCCACTTCCGCTTGCCGGTCCCCTCCGTTCTGTTGCATTACGAAGGATATTCCCAACTGGGATAAATTGCGCACGTTTTCGTAAATATTTGGTCTTCTACTACGTGCAGGTGCACAGAGACACAAGAACTCCGTCTCTGTAGTAAGGGGGTTAAGACTCATCAGAGGAAACAGAAAACTACTTTTAAAGGAGCAGATCCATTTTGTTCGCACAGGGCAAGGCCGCTGGGTTCGGAGGGAGTGGGCGTCCCCGGGGCTGGCCGCGTGCGGAATGTTCCAGAGGCAGGAAGCCCTGAGCTGGGCACCGGGGGAGAGCCGTGACCTGGGCACCCGGGGAGAGCCGTGAGCTGGGCACCCGGGGAGAGCCGTGACCGGGGCACCCGGGAGAGCCGTGACCTGGGCACCCGGGAGAGCTGTGAGAGAGCCGTGAGCTGGGCACCGGGGAGAGTCGTGACCTGGGCACCCGGGGAGAGCTGTGAGCTGGGCACCCGGGGAGGGCCGTGACCTGGGCACCCGGGAGAGCCGTGAGAGAGCCGTGAGCTGGGCACCGGGGAAGAGCCGTGAGCTGGGCACCGGGGAGAGCCGTGAGCTGGGCACGGGGAGAGCCGTGAGCTGGGCACCGGGGAGAGCCGTGAGCTGGGCACCGGGGAGAGCCGTGAGCTGGGCACCGGGGAGAGCCGTGAGCTGGGCACCGGGGAGAGCCGTGAGCTGGGCACCGGGGAGAGCCGTGAGCTGGGCACCGGGGAGAGCCGTGAGCTGGGCACCGGGGAGAGCCGTGAGCTGGGCACCGGGGAGAGCCGTGAGCTGGGCACCGGGGAGAGCCGTGAGCTGGGCACCGGGGAGAGCCGTGAGCTGGGCACCGGGGAGAGCCGTGAGCTGGGCACCGGGGAGAGCCGTGACCTGGGCACCGGGGAGAGCCATGAGCTGAAGGAACAGGGCACCCAGAGGGCGCAGGCCTCGCGGGTCCAGCGGGTGACCCGTGCAGAAAAATCACCAACGTGTGTGAATGTCTGGTAAACCGTTCGATTAGCGGATTAGGCCGCTCAGCCCTGAGGGGGCGGAGGCAGCAGCGTCCTGAGCGCCGTCAGGACGGTCCCGCACACCAGCAGCGGCTCCCGCTTCAGACAGCACCTCCAGGCGCAGTGTCTGAGCTCACTTACACGTGGTGACATTTCCCAGCGAGTGACAGGAAGACAAAGGAGCTTCATGGGCAGAGCGCCTGCCGTGTTATAACGACATTCTCACCTGCCGGCGATCACCATCCCGGCACTGCAGCCGCCGTAGCCACTCGGGGAATGCCACGCTCAACCAGGCATCCTACATCCTCAGGAGGTGGTGAAGATTCTCACGGGCAGTAAAAGTTCTGGGGGATTCTATGATTTCCTTAGGGCAGCAGTTCTAACATAGGGTTACACCATCGATGGAATTTAAAGAGCCCTCGAGCCAAAACCGGTTTGGCTCAGTGGATAGAGCGTCAGCCTGCAGACTGAAAGGTCCCAGGTTTGATTCCGGTCAAGGTCATGTACCTTGGTTGTGGGCACATCCCCAGAAGGGGGTGTGCAGGAGGCAGCTGATGGATGTTTCTTTCACATCGATGTTTCTAACTCTCTGTCCCTTTCTCTTCCTCTCTGTAAAAAATCAATAAAAAATATGTTTAAAAATAAATAAATAAATAGTCTTCGAACCTCTAAAATTACATGCAAAAGTGCTGAAAACTCACTAAGGGGAGAGTCTGTCACTTGCTATGTCTCAGAAAGACCCTCACAGGCTCTGAGCCTCACTTGGGTTATTTTAACAGAAAACAGCAGTCACTTAACCCTTGGCTGCCTCACAGCATCAGAGGAGGGGAGATGGTTAGCTTGGGACAATATTGAGAAGCTTCTAATAGTTTAGTATCTCTTCCTTTCCTATCAAGAAATGCCCAAGGCAGCCGACCAAACAGTCTCTTTCATCATTGATGTTTCTCTCTCTCCACCTTCCTCTGGAAAACCATTAATATATATATATATATATATATATATATATATATATATATATGTATGTATATATGTATATATGTATGTATGTATGTATGTAAAAGAACTGCACAAGGAGCTGGTCTCACCAAGGTCAAAACTCATTCAACATTCAAACAATGAGTGGAGGGAAGGTAATGAAATAAACAAGAGACTAAAGAGACCACTCCACACCCCCCTCCCCGCCTTCCCAAGTGAGGCTCTCCAGACCGGAGGGTTCCCACCAATTACACCGAAGGTGACAAGGGCCTGACCCAGGAGCTCGGAGGATTGCTCCAGGCTTCGCGGCGGCCGTGCCACATGCAGGGGCCCGAGCGGGAGGCCGGGAGCCGCCGGGAGGGAGGAGGGCGCTCCCGCACCGGCACCTCCCGCCTCCCACCTCGGGGCAGAGGGCCCGCGGGCCGGCTTCCCCGGAAGGACACAGCGGCCGGTTAAAGCTAATTTGGCAATCCCAAACCGCGCGCAACGACCGAAACCCAGGACAGCTGCATCCTTTTCTGATCTGACGCCTCCTCCGCCTCCGGGCCCATCGCCTCGCGGGGTCCCTCCCGCAGGTGAAGCGAGCCCGGCTGCGGTCGCCTCTGCCCGCGGGAGCGAGAGGACAGGGCGCCGTGCACCGCGGGCCCCGGAGCGGCCTCCGGGAGCGGCGCGCGGAGCCCCGGGGGCGGGGGCGGCGGCGGCGCGGGCCTGCGCCCTCCCGGACCCGCAGAACCGCGGACCGGCCTGCCCGGCGCGCGGGGCTGAGCCTCCAGCCGCCTGCAAACCCCGCGCGGGAGCGGCGTGGGAGCCGGGGCCAGGGGTTCCCGCCGGCAGCGCCCCGCGCCCGGAGGCAGCGGGCAGGGTCCGCGCCGCGGCTCCGCGAAGAAACCGGCTTCCCGCTCCCCGCGGCCGCCCCCGAGCGCGGGGCGCGGGGCCCTGCACCCCGAGGCGGCCGCAGGCGGGCGCCAGCGCCGGGGCTCCGGGCGCCGGCGGGCGCTCAGGAGATGCCGTGCGACATGCAGCCCCGCGCGCGCCCGCTCCCACCCGCGCCGCTGCCCGCCCCGCGGCCCGCAGGCCGGCCCCTCCGCCCGCGTCCTGTCACTCACCGGCCCGGCCCGGGCAGCGGGCGCCCGCGGCTCCCCGCGGGAGCTGGGCCCGCCGGGCCTCCAGCTCTCGGCCCGCCCCCGGCAGGCAGCGCAGGCAGCCGAGCCCCGCAGCAGCGGCCCCGCACCGGCCGCTCGGTCCAGCTCCCGGCGCTGCCCACTGGGTAGGATCAACAACAAGATGGCGGCCAGCCGAGGGGGCGGGGGCCGGGCGTCATAGTAACCAGGGCGGCAAAGAACCCGCCCCGGCCGAGACTGTGCCCAATTAGCAACCCCTTCGCCCGACACCCGGGGAGTGCTCCCCGCTGACAGGCCAGCCCGCCTGTCAATCAGAGCCAGCCTCCCGAGGCCGGAGCCGAACGCCGCGGCACGTGACTGTGACGGCACGGGGGGCGCATGCGTGCGGTTCCCGGGGTTGCTGGCGGCGGAGCGGTTGCGGGTGACTCCGAGGCCGTGGCGCCCTTGGCGTCTCTGCGTCCCCGGCTCCGGTGCTGGCCCGGCCGCGTCTCCCCGCGCCACGCGGCGCTGGGCCTGGGAAATGTCCGCCGGGTGCTGTTTGCTCTCCTCTGCCGCGCACCCGGGAAGGGAGGCGCTGCTGTCCCCATTCCCTGGCGAGGAAACTGAGGTGCAGGGGAAGCGGGTCAAGGTCACGCCACCCCTGCAAGTGGTGGCGCCGCGTAACGCGCCTTTCCGCGCCCTCGTCGCCCTCCGGCCTAGAGCTCAGGTCCCCGCACAGCCCTGGCCCCGGTGGGCCTCCCTCTTCCTGCCCTGGACCATCTCGTCCTGAGCTCCGGGAAGTCAGGATGGGCCCCGAGGCCAGCTGCGAGACCTGGGCTCGGCTTGGGGCCAGGGGCCAGCTGCCGTCACAGCGTCACACCGTCACAGCACAGCAAGTGCCCGGCCCAGCCAGCGCGTGGCTTTAGGCCCCGCTGCACCATCTGTACCGGAGGATGCCCGTCCGGCTCTAGAGATGAAGACTTAAGAGCCCTCAGCGCCCGGCTCGCCTTCTGCTCCCAGGCCAGCCGCAGTTCCCTCACTTTAATGGGAGCACCTCCACCTGTGTCTCCACACTGGGCACCTCGGCTTCCACCCCAAGGCCCCCCCCTCCCGCCCTGGGGCATCGGAACTGGCTCAGGAAGGAGGCCTTCCAGCCCCAGAGAGGATGCCAGTCCGCAGACTTGGCACAGGAGAGGAGATTGAGGGAGTGTGGGGGCACAAGGCGGAGAGCCCCACCAAACAGCAGAGCCTTGTGGAGTCTCCTGGCACCTGATGCCCGCTGTGCGGGAAGTGGGCGGCCCTCCCGCAGGGTGCTGGGGCTCCTGGCCATGTGCAGCAGCCCAGCTCAGTACACGGAGGGCTGAGGGCCAAGGAGCAGAAGAAACATCAGAAAAAATGGGAACCAGCCCCAACCGGTTTGGCTCAGTGAATAGAGCACGGGCCTGCAGACTGAAGGGTCCCAGGTTCGATTCCGGTCAAGGGCATGTACCTTGGTTGCGGGGACATCCCCAGTAGGAGGTGTGCAGGAGGCAGCTGATCGATGTTTCTCTCTCATCGATGTTTCTAGCTCTCTATCCTCCCTTCCTCTCTGTAAGAAATCAATAAAATATATATATATTTAAAAATCAATAAAAAATATATTTTTTTTAATGGGAAACACCCCTCAGAAGAGGGCTGGCGACCCCTCCACGGCCATCCAGGCCCTGTTCTCTGCTCTGTACCAACCCCCTTCTCGGTGCGGAAGCTCCGATCCCTCCCGGGAGAGCCTCCCCGACGCGGGCAAGCTGCCCCAGCTGGAGGGAACGGCCCCCGTGCCCGCAGGACAGACGGCTCCGCAGAGAGCTAATCGGGCCATCGCGGCCTGGACATCGCCTCCCCAAACGCACCTTCCTCCGCCCGTCCCCGGAGAACAAGGAGGCACAGACCTCAGCCCTCCTCCCACGGTGGGTGACAAGGCTGGGACTCTGCTGCTGGTAATTTTGTTTATTATTGAATCAACTTGGAAGCGCAGCCCAGGGCCACGTGCAGAGATTCCCAGGCAGCCGTGAGGCAGCTCCGTGGCTCAGAGCCAGCGCCAGGCGCCCATGCGCGTGTCGAATAGGTAGTCCCTGCCTGTCCCTGCGCGCAGAGGGTCAGAGAGAGGAGACGCTGCTGGCCCCGGCAGAATGGCTCCCTCCCCCCACCCCAGGGCTCCGGGGGAAGCCCCCTTCCGCTCGATCTCCCCCCTGTCCCCCATCCCTCCTTCCTCAGAAAATTCTCTGAGGTCCAGCTCAAATGCACAGGACGCATCCTGGATTCCCGGAAACCGGACAGTTGCTCTGCTGAGCCAGGGCCAGGGGACTCTGCCACCATGCCCTGGTGATCATGGCGCCCTCCTCTCTCCACCATCCCTCCCTGCCCCCGTGGGTGGGGCCAGACCAGCTCTGCGTCCACTATGCCCGGTCCCCCGGGTGTTGGACAAACGCTGGCTGTGAGCTGAGTGGGGGTGAGAGCAGACCCCATTCAGGGAAAGCGTGGGGGGGGGGTGCCTGGCGGTGGGAGATGCTGAGATGGGGAACGAGAGAAAGGGGTCTGGGAGGGGCTGGTTTGGGAAGAGGGGGCTCACGCGAGTCCTGGGCTCTGCCATCGAAATGTCGCTGTGGGAGCAAGAGGCACGTGAGGGAGCCCGTCCCAGGGTCAGTGCCTGCCTTCCTGCGTCCCCACCCGCCCTGGGTAGCCACCCACAGGGCAGGGCAGGGCTGGCGGGAGCGCTCCAGCAGCCTGTGCCCCGCGCAGAGGCTGACATACCAGGCTCCTGATGCTGCCAGGTGCCTCTGGCGTCTCCATCCTGGGTGTCTCTCTCCTGGGCGCCTCCATGAACCCCTCCGAGGACCCCTCGGTGCCTTGGATACTGGGGCGAAGGGAAAGCAGGACCGCAGGTTGAGGCTGGGGCCTCAGCCCAGCTGGGGACCCCCTTGCAGGCAGCGGGGTGTGCGGGAGGCTGACTTGGTTAGCAGCAGCGCCGGGGCTGGTTTGCTCGGTGCCCGTAGCCCTTGGGCCCACCTAAGATGCCAGGAGGAAGGGCTGGGCGTGAGGGCGCAGGCCGGCTGGCCCGGGCGCCGGCATCATCCACCTCTCCTTGGCGCTGGGGAGAGCCGGTGCCTGTCTACCGCATCCACTTCGCTACCCGTGGAGGGCGGGGGTAAGGAGTAGGATCAATGCCCCAGGCACCACGCACTGGGAGGCCAAGCCTGGGCCGCCTCCATGCCCACCCCATACCACACCTGGGCTCTGCCAGCCCTGAGACGGCGTCCTTCCCGGCCTCTGTGCCTCTGACTGCGCCCTCTGGAGGGAGGGCAGCTCCCTGACTGTCAGCCTGTCTGCTGGTCCCAGGGCTTTGTAATTGAATCTTGGCTGCAGCCGCCCCTCACAGGTGGGCCCTGCATGGGCTGGGGGAGGCAGCGAGCCCCTACCCCCGGGAATGCCGGCAGAGGAGCCAGCCCAGGGCCAGGAGCAGGGCGCCGGTCACCGTCAGCACCACCACAAACCAGGGCTCCGGCCGCCAGAAAGGGTCCGTGAGGGTCACCAGCCGGGGTGTCGCGGCCGCCGCAGGCACCTGACACGGCACAGCCTCCTCCTGCCCTGCCCGACGCCCAGGCACCCGCCTCCGAGCCCCTCAGGGCATGGCACCCACACCCGGGTTCGCTCTGGGACTGCTCTGGGCACTGAGGGGGGTTCCCTCTGGAATGCCTGCCCCCAGGCTCCGCCCGGAAGACTGGGTCTCCTCACCCCCAGGAGCCCCTCCCATGCGCGGCCCGGGGCCCCTCACGGTGGCGCCGCTGGTGCTGGTGGCGGCGGTGCTGGCCCTCGGGGGGACCAGGTGCACTAGGACGGTCGCCGTGGTGCTGAGGTGGGGGGCGGAGGGGCCCGCGTCGGCCACCCGGATCAGGAGCTCGAAGGTCCGGGGCTGCGCTGGGGGCGACGGCCCCGATGGGGGGGTCCCTCGTGCAGCAGGGCGGCTCCTTGCAGGCGGAAGCGGCCCTGGCCGGTCCCTGAGAGCAGCGGCAGGAGGAGGGGACCATGGCCGACCTGGCCTGCTCCTCCCCGCCCCCCGGGGCCCGGCCGCACCTCCCACGAGGCTGTAGGAGAAGGCGAGGCGCTGTGGCTCCTGTGGGACCCGACATGACAGCCTGGCCACCTCCGTGCTGCTGCCCGGGGACGCGTGGACGGCGAGCTCCTGGAACGGGGGCTCGCACTCGGGGGCGTGCTCGTTCACATCCTGCAGGCAGGCGGCCGGGTCACCCCCCCAGGCCCCAGGCCTCTCGCCAAAGCCAGAGCCTGGGTCTGGGCAGCAGGCCACAGAGCTTTCCGCACAAGCCCCTTCCCCCAGCCAGCCAATGAGAAACTGAGGCACGGAGGAGGACCCGGAGAGCCAGAGGGCCGTCTGAACCCTCCGTCCTCTCCGAGGCCTCGGCCGCTCACCTCCACCTCCACGGCGACGGTGCAGGAGCCAGAGCCGTGGCCGCGGTCAGTCACCAGCACCGGGAGCTGGTGCAGCCTCTGCTGCTCATAGTCCAGCGGCCCCAGCAGGCGGACCGCCCCTGGAGGGATGGCCGCGCCGTGGCTCAGCCCGCAGCCCCCCCCCCCCCGCCTCCACCCCGCTCCCAGCCCCCCGCCCCGCTCCCAGCCCCCACCTCACCCCGCACCCACCTCCCCCCCCGCATCCCCCCCACCCACCCCCCCGCCCCGCACCCAGCCCCCCACCCTCCACCCCGCACCCAGCCCCCCCAGCCCCGCACCCAACCCCCCCCCCGCCCACACCCAGCACCTCCGCCGCCCCGCACCCCCCCCGAACCCACCCCCCTCCACCCCGCACCCCAGCCCCCCCCCCGCTCTCCGCCCCAGCCCCCCCCCCACCACCCCCCACCCCCGCACCCAGCCCCCCCCCCTCCAGCCCCCGCTCCCCCCCCCACCCAGCCCCCCAGCCCCCGCACCCAGCCCCCCCCGCCCACACCCAGCCCCCCGCCGCCCCGCCCCACCCCCGCCCCGCACCCAAGCCCCCCCTCAACCCCGCACCCCCAGCCCCCCCCGCCCCCTCCCAGCCCCCCCCCCCCGCCTCCTCCACCCCCCGCACCCAGACCCCCCCGCCCCGCACACAGCCCCCCCCAGCCCCCCACGCCCCGCACCCAGCCCCCCCGCGCCCCGCTCCCAGCCCCCCCCGCCCCAC